GTGGTGGTGCACTCCTATGACCTCAGCATTTAGGAGGCAGAGGCAGGAGAATGGGAGTTCAAGGGTTATCTTCTATCATCATGAGTTTGAGGGTAGCCTGAGCAACATAAGAAACTGTCTCAAACAAAAGAGAATAAAAAGCCTGGGGAAAGAGAGGGGAGAGCTGGGGAAGGGGGGAAGCCCCAAGAATACATGAAAAACCCAAAACAAAACCAACTGCTTCACAGAAGAGAAAACTCAGCTGACAAATGTGTTCGGCCTCAGTAACGAAGGGGATGCTGGAGATACCCTCTCCACAACACTGACAGGACTGCAATGTCCTAAATCATCACGGCTTTCTGCACATTGCCGTCAGAGTGTGAATGGTAGGGCCACTTTAGAAAACAGTTTGGCCTCAACTGCAGAGCTGAGCATTCAGAAGCCCAGCAATTTGACTGCCAACAACACACATAAGGAGAGGCCACCATACATGTGGCATGGCAGGACCACAGGACGCCAAGTGTCAAGTACGGGAAGATTTGACAATTTAGTGTTAAGTAAAAAGTACAGATTTTTAAAGATTCATAACATTACGTATCAGTGAATCACATTTATGTCCTTTTCGAAGAATATTTGTAAAGGTCTAAGAAATGAAAGGCAGAAAAACACAAGAGAAAAACAGAGTGGACAAGTCTCAGGCCACAGAAGCTGACACCACACTGGATCCTGCTCCAGGTACTTCTTCCATTATCAGAGAAAAGAACTGTATTCATCAGGGTTCTCTAGAGGAACAGACCTTATAGAATTAATATATATGCATTAATAACTACCATGTATAGGCTTATAGGCTGTGGTCCAGTTAGTCCAACATGGCTGTTGACTGACAGAAGATCCAAGAATCCAGTAGTTGTTTATTCCATGAGGCTGGTCTGAAGAAGTAGGCTCTAATGCTAGTGAAGGAATGGACTTGCCAGTAAGAAAGAGCAACCTGCCTTCCTCCATGCCAGCAGAAGGTGTGGTTCAGATTGAAGGTGTATCTTCCCACCTCAAAAGATCTGGATTCAAGGTGGGTCTTTCCACTTCAAATAACTTCATTAAGAAAAATCCTTCACAAGTGTACCCAGCCAGTTGTGTTTTAGTTAGCTCCAGATATAGTCAAGTTGACAAGAATATCCATCACAAGTAGCTAAAACATGGAGGCCATTTAAAAGCAAGTTGCTCACAGTCTATCTCCAACCAAGAACTTGGGAGGAATGAGTGAGAGGATGTTTGTAAAGGGTGACCTGGGAGTGATGGTGTCACTGTGTCTACAATACCCTAACAAAGCTCAGGTGTATGACATCGACCACAGTATAGGGAGGCTGAGGAGTGTAGGAAAAGGGGTGCAGCATGAAACACTTAGCCCCTCTCTCCATGACACGACTCTCATGTTCACTCAGGGCAAAGCTTCCATGCTCATCACACGCGCACAGGTTCTCCTCTGTGCGGGTTCACTGGAACCTGCTGAGGTGCGACTTTTGGAGAAAGGGTTTCTACCTTCACTACAGAGTCTTTATATCAGATGGAAACAGAACGAGTTGGCATACTTTTCTCCCTTTTCCACTTTTGTTTTATTTAATTCACAAATCATTAAGTCAGAATTTTCATTGGATGAAAAAAATCAAGTCAGCAATTTGGTTTTCTATTACAGACAACAAAAGTTCCTGTGTCTTATTGAACCTGCAATAAGAATTTGTGTTCATTGCCTGAGAAAAGCCACTTGTGCCAGTTAGAAAGCATACAGTTAACTTGGAAAGATTTAGAACTAGACAGACTCATGAGGCTGGAGCCTTTAACATCACTGTACCCACCTAAGCATGTTGCTGTCCCTCAGCAGGTGGAGTGAAAACCATGAGGTCTTTTTCCTAGTGGACAGGTCTCACCATTTAGCCCTAGTCACCACAGTGGCAGCAATGAGAGCTTCTTTCAGATAATGTATCAGAATTGTACCTGATAACAGATAAGCAGACAGTAACCACACTGGCAGTGTGCATCCCAGATGAGGCTGGGGTTCAATCTGTTCCTCTTCCATCCTGGATAAGCTATCTGCTCAGGATATGCAGAGGAATATCTGGGCTAGCTTATCTGGTTGTAAGTGCCAACTAAGTGAGCTACAGTCAACCTTATACTTTCTGCCCCTTGCTTCCTCAAAATTCTCTGTGAGACTCTAGGGAAGCTGCTGAGGATAGGCTCTGATAGGCACTTCAAAGACAGGATCTTCAGCAAATGGGCTCATTGCTGCCTCAGGTACACCTGTGCCTGGGGAAGAACACTACACCAATCTTCCCTGGGTCTGATTCTGGCTGAGACTTCATTAATGGAAGGTGCAGAGTCCCCACAGTGGATGATCCCAAGAGCAGCTGGTGACTGGGAGTGATCATGTATTAGAATTTGGTTAGTCACATCCAATCCCGCTTTGACCAGCTTTGCTCTGGGTTCAAGAAGAACTGCTTCAGAGTAACTCTAGCAGGCCAGGCATGTCCTTCCTAGGTGGACTTCATCTCTCCCAATGGCCTGAGAGACTCCAAGGAAGCAATAAGTTTATTGATGCAGACGTACTTGTACTGGTGTAGCTCAACAGTTGATTGCCACAGCCAGCAGCACTGGTTGGAACTGTGGCCTTAAGTGACAGTTTCAGCGGGGTCCCAACCAGAAGAAAAGGGGGATACTTGTAGACAATAGCTCTGCAGGTTTTGCTCAGGCATAGTTCAGAGTTAGGAAGACTCATCACACACTGTTGTAACCTTCTGTTGCCCTTCCCAGTGAGCCCCAGGAGACCCCATGAAGGCTCTCTATGCTGTACCTTGCACTGTGTACCATGAAGCTGTTCCATCGTCTGTGAAAACTCATACGTAACTCAGATCCACGATGGGGCAAGCCTGAAGCCCAGTTTTGAGGGTGGAATTCCCCATTAACGGCACTGATGACCAAACTGCAGTGTCCTTTCTAGGGTGTCTGGAGCCGATGAGGACTTGTGGATTTAGATGTGAGCTGCTGGCCTGCTGGTTTTTTACATCATACCAGGCATCATTGTAGGTTAAAGTTAGGGTCTCTGAGTAACTCATCAATAAAACCAGACACTCCTGAAATGGAGTGCTTGAGATAACTCCAGGACAGGTATCAACCAGGAACATGGGGGGCTCACAATCAAGAAAGCAGTAAGGAAGCCCCAAAGCTACCTGATTTGATGTGGCACAACCCAAAGTCACTTTTAGTGGCTGAGCCTGGGGTAGATCACCCATGTCACAACAGAAGTCCAGAGAAGAATCACTGAGGACTTAGCTACAGCCTTAGGGCCATTCCAGGCAGCTGAGGAGCCCCTGTAAATTAGGAAGCTTTCTTTCAGAAGCCATCAGTGACTGAAGCAAAGTGAATTTCTTCCCATAAAATGAAGCTTCAAATCTTTCAAAATTCATACCTCTTCAGTCACCACCACCAGGAACCCACTAGTGGTGACCCTCAGGGATGGATGCAAATACAAATGGGCCTGACCAAGTCAACTCTCTTGACCTGTTCCACAAGGAAGGGACAGAGATTTTGTAAACACACACACACATGCTACACACCACATAGACACACAGACGCTACCACATACCATACACATCACACAGCACACAGACATACCACACACAACAAACACCACAGACACATCATACGGCACACAGATAGATTTACCATATATATCACACATCATACAGAAACACCACAAATACCACAAATATTATACATCATTCACCACAAGACATATCATACAGATCATCATAGATCTCATGATACATCACACAACACATAGAAACAAACAGCATACATATCACATAACATCACATACAGCACTCCACAAGACACATCATAGACATATCACACACCACATGGATGCATCACATCCCACCTAGACATACACAGAACATATATTGCACAGCAGACATCACTTATAAAACTCTAGACATGCCACACAGACACATCTCAGGCATCTCAGATATCACACAGATACACAACTCTCCATATACCATACAGATACAGCAATACTGTAGGTACCACACACCACATGTCACACAAAATAACCACACCTACATGACACACTATAGACCACATTATACACAACATAACACATGAACTTTTGCCATGTTTATTTTTTACCAAGTCATATCTCAACATTTTATTGTGATAATTTTCAAACATTTAGAAAATTTGAAAGTGAAAATACACATGTACTTAACACCTAGATTCTATTATTGCTAATATTCTTCTATATAGATGATTCTTGAATGACAATGGGGTTTGCATTCTGAGGAACTCATCATCATAAATGGAAGATATCTTCAGTCCAAAATACACATAATACACATACTCTACTGAAGGTCATGGCTCAGCGGCATTATGTACCACAAAGCAGAGGCGTCTCCTCACGATCTTGGGCTGACGGCTTGGCACTGCCATCCTGAGAGAAACTCATTCTTATCGCTAGCCCAGGAAAAGGCCAAAATTCCAAATTAGAAGCATAGTTTTTAGTATTAATTTTATGCCATATCAAAACCAAAAATGTCTAAATTGTACCATTATTACCAGGGAACCCTATTGGCCCCTTAACCATCTGTTCTTGTCACTTAACTCTAAATCTTTTGTTGTTGTTGTTTTTTGAGAGAGACTTTCTCTGTAGCTGTGGAGCCTGTCTTGGAACTAGCTCTTGTAGACCAGGTTGTATGTTACACCTGTAGCCTTCAGTGTGCCTCACTAACATGTGCAATGTTGCTTCAGTTTCAGAAGATTCATTTCTTTACTGCATTTTCTACCCTCACTTCCTCTTGTCCTCCAGACATCTATGGCTGAGAATTTCTGTCCCTCCGAGTACCATTCCACAACTATAAAACAGTATCAGTCAAACGGGAGCTCAATGCATTGCTCTCCGCAAGTTGGGGAAACTGTGGACCTGCAGGTGACACAGGCCTGTGTCCTAAGGCCCAATCAGCACGCTATATTCACCTTTACTGTGGAGGAGTCTTTGGAGCTGGAGCTATGAAACCCGTATTTGACTTCGGTGGAAGAGCAGACAACAGGAACTTCCGGGACTCCATCCTGAAGAGGAAAGGCAGGCACATCAGCGTGAGGGAGACCCCGTAATTGAGGCTGAAGAATTGCATACCAGTGTTTTAGGGCCATGTGTACTACCCAATGGGAAACTATAACTGGATTCTAGTGTGATGGACCCTCACTTTGATACAGAAAGTGCATCCTCATATGACTTGGGCCCTGGGTCAGACCTCTATTTTCCCAAGTAATCATCAGTCTTTGCAAATGGATAAAAGTTCACACGTGCATACACCCCCAACATCTCCAATTCATGGAAGTTTCTTGTAGCAGATCCAGAAAGCTTATTAAGAGGTGATCTGGAGTATCCAGGGAGCTCTGATGTAATCACCTTAAAGCATAGGAAGGTAGAAGAACACAGAGACTCAACATAAGAGAAGGGAAGGGCTAGCCATGCTACCGACAGTGTTGAGGGTGAAAGCATTCCAGAAGCTTCCTGAATGCTCTTAGCCAGACTCTTCCTCAACCCCTCTGGGTAGTGCTGACCGATAAGAGGCAATGCTGCCAGTGAGACACTGGAGAGCCCAGCTGTGTGTGGAGACAATGAGTCTGTGCTAATGTCTTCTGCAGCACGGGAAAACCAATTCAAACCACCTGGAAGGAGGCAGCTGACCAGAACGCCTTCAAAATCAAAACAAGAACATTCTTCCTATGTGAACTCTCAGTCTCTGTTTCTGTTTGCTTCCTAACTCTATTATTCCATCTATTTCATGGAATATTTCACAACCAATGCCAGAGGAAATAGTCCCAATAAATGAATGGTCTACCAACCATTGGGTAAAGTTCTCTGTGAAATTGGGGCCAGAGTACTCCACTAACCAATAGCTATAATTGATACCTGTATCCCATGGGCACTTGTGCTTGTGACTGGTGCAGTGCCACACAGGGCTAAGACAATAGCCATGCTCTCTGGTCTGTGATGGGCCAAAGCAGACCAGTGTGCTTGTTATCTACATCCATGGCTAGGTTGTCATAGAAACAGTTCCTGTAACTGAAAGTATAGGAACTCGAGCAAGCCCTGACTGTGTCATGTCCTGGTGAATATGTGTTTGACACAAGCCAACCATGTCAACCCCAGAGCCTCAGACCCATAGAGGAACAGTAAAGTCTTCTCCCTGGGGTGAGGTTCAGAGGCCAGGTGCAAATATGCCCACTATAACTTTTTCCCTCCTGGATGTTTATGGCCTGAAGACTGTCCCTTATAGAGACTGTGCCTACTGAGATAAGCTAAACCTGTCCCCTTGATCCAACTGTATATCATAAACTCTGCTCCTTTATTATCTGTATGTAATAACTATGTCTCCTTAACTAGTTGTATGCAATAACTCCAGCTTTTTGTTTAGCTCTGTGTAATAAACATGCCGAGCTTCTGGGGTGCTGTGGTTTCTCCAGAAGAGAGCCCAGACCATCTGATGCCAGTTTTCTGTCTGTACACCTGCCTGTGCTTGTCTTTTCTTCATTACTTCACCACCCCAGTTAGGTGCAAGTCCCTGGAGCCATGCTGGATGTGGCACTAAAGAAGGACAGGTAGGATTATACTGACCATTACACTTTGAGAGTTGTGACTATGCCCTGTGTTCTGTCACATGCACATACACTGACCTTTCCAATACAAGGCTAATTCATCATCATGCTGGAAAAAAATACTATAAAGTAAAAATAGTATTTCAGATACGATGCATGTGTATATCCCAAAGATGAAGTTTTTTGTATTCCTAAAATCATGGTTCTTCTTTGAACAATGTTGAAAATATGTGTAGACTTTAAAAAGTGGGCTCCAAGAGTGAGATGTATGATTTCAGTCTAATTTAACAGAGAAATTAGACTGAGAAATCTGATGAAGAAGAACTCAAAGAAGGACCTTGGAAATGCCAGCCGTGGCTCCTGGTAGGCAGGAGACTTGAGCGAGGAAATTAGTTTTATTTATAAAATTCTGCAATTTCCAAAATTTTTCTATAATATACATCTATTTGGTAATCAGAAACAAAATGAAGTGGTTTGGGGTTTGGAGTGGAGCTATAGTCATGGCCACAGTTAGGTTTTGCTAGCCTTTCAGGAAGAGGAGAGAGAGAGAGAGAGAGAGAGAGAGAGAGAGAGAGAACAGTCTGGAAGTCTGCTTAAAAGATTAGACAGCATTTCAAACCAACATTCACAATTATTTGGTTACACAACAATACTGCCAATCAAGTTTCAAAGAAAGCCAATTTAGACCAAAATATTAGTTCTTTAAGAGAAAATGATTTTGTGGGTTTTTTTTTCAAAATAAGCTGTCCTCACTGACCAATAGATGAAAAAAAAACTAAAGCAACTCTCAGTATTTGCATGAATGAAGTGTGAACCTTCCACTATGTTTTTAGGCCCTTCAGTGCCTCTGACCCTGAACTGCAGAGAGGAAAGGGGTGCATGGAAAGCTTCTGTAAGGTATAAGCTTCCTGGGCACAGAGGGCGGAGAGGGGCCACAGGGCCAGCCTATTCCTCACCCTGCAGAGACGGGCCACTGGGGTCTTCACTATTCCTCTTCGGACAAGCACCAGCTTTTCATTAAGGAAATGAGAGTATCTACTGATGATCCTCAGAGAATCATGGAGAATGTATCCTCTCTCCACCAGACATGAGTAGAGATTCTCTCTTTCATCTCCTGCCTCTGCCCTGCCATCTCTTGGTACCTTTCATGGAGAGGTCATGGCTTTCTGCTCAGAAGACTAGCCTCCTGTGCTCATGACAGAGTCCCCTGAGGTTTGGGCTGCAGGGAAGCAGCTAAAGAAGCCACAATGCAGATCTAAGGCTGCCCTGTGCAGGCCACTAACCTGTGAGGACCCAGAGTAGCTGATTGTAGCCTGCTCAGTAGACATGGTAACCTGCAGTATCCTGGCTGGGGGACCATGACTGAGGGCTGGATAGGGGTATGCATATGTGTGTCTATCTGAGGAGGCTTCAGTGAATGTCTATTTTTTCCTTTAATTTGTACTAATAGACCCTAGAAATGAGGTAACAGAAATGAGATAGTAAAAATGCACCATTCATAAAGCTGAAAAGGACTTTGTATGATAACTCCTCAAAGTACACATGCATTTGTGCTTAGGGTGTGATAAGGAACGCACAACAGAAAACCGAGGTGGAACAGTCAGTTAGTGTGTGTAACCATGCCTCTGTTACAGTTTTTCTTGGCTATACAAAAAATTCATGGGAACAGAGAACACTATGAAATGTGCGTCTACCCTCTGTGTTAGGGTCGACTTCTGACTTGCCATTCTGTGGCATGGGCCTTGCTTTCAGGCAGAACTATCTGTCACTAGGGAGCATACTTATTCAATATATCCTTGACTCAAGATTGAATTGAATGACAAGCTCTGACTCTCAAGATCTTAAAATCTAAACCAAACACTGTTAGAGACTGATAGGTACACATCTGCCCACATGGCTATACATGGATGTAGAAAATAAACAAACAGAGCTGGGGAAACAGCTCAGCAGGCAAAGCTATTGCCCTGCAAACAAAAGGGTATGAATTTCATTCCTAGCACCCATGTAAAAAGCTGGATGTGGCAACACATGACTGTCATCCAAGCACTGGGGGAGCAGAGGTGAAAGATTCCTGGAGTTCACCAGCCTGCCAATCTAGCTAAGTCAGAAAGCATCTGGTGGGGTGGGGCTGGGGGAAGTAGAGAGACAAAGATAGAAACAGAGATTCTGGGTCTCAAAAAATAAAACAGAAAGCAGCCAAGGAAGACGTCAACCTTTGGCCTCCACACACGTGCACACGCACACAAAGAGAAGCGGCAGCCTTATTTTATGCATTCGTACAACTGCTAAGGAGATTTCTCAGTGTGTACAGCTACATAAACAGCTAGGAATGTCAGTAAGCTAAGGGGAACAACTGCACTTTATACTGTGCCATTCCATCATTTCAAACTTCACATCACAAATAAACTATTTTCTAAAGCCCTTTGAGCTAAGAGGTTATAGCCGTTTAACCTTAACGCAGAAGCGGGGGGGGGGGGGGGTCGCGTTTGGTCATGCCCCAACTTAATGTGTCAGACTTTGTTGACTTCCCATGGGAACCCTTACCCACTGGGAGGAGTAGATGGGGTTTGGGCTGGGGAGAAGGTGTGGGAAACAGGAGGAGGGGTGGGAGAATGGTGGATGTAATGTAAAATGAAATTAAAATAATAATAATAATAAAGCTAACACTCACCTCGGTGAGCATTGAGACCAGTTCAAGTTACTACTCTTTTCCTACAGAGAAAATGAAAACGTACAAGTGAGACAAGAAGCTACTTATGGTGGGCTTCCTGCCTGCAGCTCACAACTAGACCCTATCTATCTTCAGTTTCGAGCGACAGCACCTGAGAAGGTCCCTTCCTTAGACAGCACTCTTCCTTAGAACCATTTTTATGTTTTCTTTTCCCCATGGCTGGGTGGGAGAGGTCCTGGCAGCTGGCCAGGTGGTAGTATTTATGCAGTTTTCTGGGGACCGTTTACTGTTTTCACCACTGGTGAGTCTATATTCCCATTTCACCTTCTTTTCCATGGGAAGAGCTTTCTGGTCCCTCTGCCTTGTCACTAACACTGGTACTGTCAGACATTGTGGTGGAGGTTAGCTGGTGGGTGGGCGTGTATTTTATCATGGTCTTATCAAACGATGTCTACCATTTTCCACGGGCTTCCTTGCCATAATAAGGATTTGATCAGATTTAGGGCCATTTCATTAGAAAGCTGTTAGTACATTTGGTATGTGTGTTGTTTAGAAACATCTTGACAATGGCTTGCATTTCATCTTCTTAATGACAATTCTCAAAAATAAAATTTTATATTTCATAAATTACCACTGTATCATTTATCTAGACATTGATGCCACTGTTGTGTTAGCAGTAATTGCTGAGTTCAGCATCACAAAGACCTTGCTTTCTTTAGAAATTTATAATTTGATTTTCAAACTTAGACCTATAGTTGGCTTTGAATTTTCTGCAGAGATAAAGAAAAATTCATAAAGCTTTTCAGTCTTGGGTATATTCAGCTCAGGGCCATCGAGGGAAGCCACGCTTCTCCCGAGTTAACCTTGCTATCTTTGTTCAACACAAGCTGATCAGAAACGAAAGGTATAATTCTGTGCCTTTATTCCATTCATCTGGTATAAGGCTGTTGAAAAGCAGTTAAGGTGCTAGTTTACACATTTTTAAGGATTATGTTGTCTATAAACAGTTTCCTGCTGGCCACTGTGTGCCTTAAGCCAGCATTGCACTGTTGTCCAAGGTGGTGAGAATGGACACCCTTGTCTGTTCCCAGCTGGGGGGAGGAGGAGGTCACTTTTTCACCATCAAAGCCACAGACTAACGAGCTCTTCATGGTTTTTATTTTATTCTCAGGCTGTAGGTATTTTTTTAAACCGGAAATAGTGTTTTAACAGAGTCCATATGTATCTTCTGTATGGGCTGATATAATTAAAATGTTCTTGACCCTTATTCTAACAGTATTTTTATTACAATAATTGATTTACAGGTGTTAAACAGATGCATCACTAGAATATGCATCACTTACTCTTGGCATACAGCCAATCCTATGTGTTCCTTTACCATATGTTTTGGTCTGATAATGTTTTAAGAATTTCGCTTGTATTTACAGAATATCTTTGGCTCACTATAAGCTTCTCTTGTGCTGATATTTCTGGATTTAATATCAAGTTAATCCTGGTGTCGCCCAATAGGTTACTCCCTCCTCTGTGAGCTGAGTTTATGCGCAACTACTTTCTTCTTCCTCCTCCTCTTCTCTTTTTAATTGAGAATTTCATACAATATATTTTGATCAAAATTTTCCTCTTTCCCAGCTCCTCTCAGATTCCCTTCAACTTCATGTTCTTTCTCTCTCTTAAAAACTAAATAAAATCAGAAGACACACACACGCAAATTAAGTCTGATTTGTGTTGGGTAACTACTGCTGAGAATGAAGCCTGACCTGGAGTGTGACTGAGTCAGAGATACTGCACCACACACCATACAGACATACCACACAAACACATAATACACTTCACAGTCACACTACACACCAGGCACTAGACACATCACACAAACATACCAATACCTCACACACTATACACCATATAGACATACCATACAAATTTACCAACACCTCACATACCATACACCCCACACATCACACAGGCATACCACATACTATACACATCACATGTCACACAAACACAACTCATAGACACAGACATACCACATACGACACAGATGCCTCACATACAACATATAGACATACCACATAATGTACTATATGCCACATAACACACTACACAAAAACATCACACACCATACACATACATCACATATTACACACATAACATATATACATTATATACCATGCATAGACATGCACGTCATAATTGACACAACCAAACTACACTTAGACCATGCGCTACGTATATTACATACCACATAGAAACAGATACCATACACGAGCACACATGTACATATACATTATACACTAAGCACCATATGTACACAGACACTCTACACACCACACACCTCCAGTGAGTCAGGACAGTATCAACAGTGAAACTCAGGACAATGCTGGGATCCTTGTATAGGGTACACCCACACATTGGTCTCGGCCCTTCCATGAGCATGACACAGAAGAACAAGCACACCTGGGAAAGGTTCCCCTTTTTCCGTAGAGGTAGCTCTTTCTTTTCTGAGTGTGAATTCCTCTGGAATCGGGGCTGCATCATGTAGTCAAATGTGCTCAGGTTCTTGGCAACTGCAAAGGGAAGGGGCAGGAAAGGGCAGGGTCATCCAGCAGCCATGCACAATGTCACACAGCACCCCATATGCAGTGTGCAATCAACCTTGCCAGGGAGTGACTGCCTCGCTTTGCATGTCCCAAGACCAGGAGGAGGACCAGGTATGTCAGACCAGACAAGCTATGATCTGTACATTTTATGACTGACAGGACCTGACTATTTCCTGTTGCCCAAGGCAAACCTCTAATTAAGCTCAGAGGTAGGGTGGCCCGGAGGAGCTGAGCTGTGGCACCTCTCAGGGGTCCCCTGCTTTGCCTCATGATAGACAACTCCAGACCTTCCTAGGATGGCTTCCGGAGGCCAGGCTCAGGAAAGACTAGTCTGTCCAAGGGTCCTGGAAGCCCTTCATATTCAGGGCGATTGAAATTCTACTGGAAGGAATACTGGATCCCTGAACTGACCTTGTCAGCTGCCTACCCACCCTTTGCCTGCTTCCCCCCACCCAGTGCAATCACCTCACCCTAGATGCTCTGCCTCAGAGAACACAGGGCTACCTGAGACTTTGACAACCATATCTAGCAGAAGCAATCTGAGTTACTGCAAGAAGACCAGATTTTTTTTTTTTTTTTTTTTTTTGAGGAAAGAGCTGTAAATGCCTATTCCGGGCCTGTGCTTCTTAGGGAGGGGTGTGAATTTTCAAAACCAACACACATGAGCAGATGGTTTACAAGCATTTCTGAGGAGCTGCAGGACCACCCGATGACCCTATCTGTAGCTCAAGTAGCAGACGGGGTAGCCTGCCCCAACCTCAGAGGTCCTCCAGAACTTGACTTTGCATTGAGTGATGAATTTCCCTAGGCCCAGCCAGTTGTAAGCCAGCTTCTAGCACCTATGTAGAGTAAGCCTGTGGGCCAGCACTTGCTAATTCCTTCTAATTAAAACAGTCCTTCTTTCCAAGGGTTATGTAAATGACACTCAGACCACCTTATGAGCACATCCAAGCTGAGCAATGTCGATGTAGATCCTTTAGGGTGACCAGGCTCCCCAAGACGTTGGCTCCCTCAAGATGAGGGAACTCTGGAGTGGGTACTTACTCAGGTAGAAGTGGAAAATGAGCAGGTGCCCGAGCAGCACAAAGCTGGCAGTGGCTAGCAGGAACACCACCACTAGGATGAACAGGACTACAGGGGTCTTCACAGGCACAGGCCACAGTGGGAGGAACAGCAGCCATATGTTCTCAGCGCTGATTTCTATGAAGACAGAGAGACATGTCCATCTCACACCTGCCCAAACTGCAGCACCTGTGCTCAGGTAAGCAGAGGGACAGAGGGCAAGTGAGGACAGCCAGCCAAGGGATGTGCTTTCACCTTGTATATCCCCTGCTCTACTGCGGGTCCCAGGATCCCACCCACTGTGGCTGGCTCTATGATCTCCACTTTATGAATTCAAGACGATGATTAGAGAGAAGTTCCTCAATACTGGAGGGTAGAGCCAGTCCCTCTTATTTCAGAGATTTGTGCCATGGGCTTGTGCTTCTGGACCTATTTAATCACAGACTCTCTGAACTTCCCCTCAGAGTCTGTTGCTCAACTTAACAGCCCCACTGTCTGCTGTTCTTCTCTACAAGTAGTTGTGTCCTACAAGACAGGCTCCTGCCTTCTCCGCCCAACCCTGCTAAAGCATCCACTGTCTAGTGTCAAGACTGACTGAAGGGACAGAGGAGTCCAAGTATACCTTACTCTAATCTTTGGATGTTAGGTCTCAGAGGAGCTCACTAAAGAGTGAAGGAACATGGAGGGTGAGGCTGGGAAGTCTAACACTTGGCACGTGAGAACCAGGTGGAAACAGTTCCTGAGCATCAGAAGGGTACCTTTATACAGAGGGTCTGTGCGAAGCTCGTCGGGGTTGACAAAGTACTGGATGAAGACGTACAGCAAGATAACCATCACGATAAGCACGCCAACTGCCGCTGAGGCCACAGAGCAGAAGAAGAACCTGCGTGAGAGGAGTGGGATCCTGCCCTGAGATGAGCAAGTGGGAAGTCTGGAAAGACTAACCCCCAGCCAAACACATGAGGTCAACACACAGGTCTCGTGCGGGTGACCTCAAGGAAGCACAGAGCCCAAACTCTACTCGTGTCTTCTATATTTTTATGTTCCTTCTGCCACGTCTTTCACATACCCTAGGCAGATGCTCACTTCTGACTTTACTGATTGTGTCTCACATTCCCTACAGCCTTCTGCCTGAGTCCTCATGTCCTTCCATCCTGCAATCTGGATAAGAATATCATTGCTGTACGATGGGGAAAGTTAATCCCTAAGATGGGAGACTATCACCTAAGCAGACAGAACCTCTTCCAGCAGCCACCGTGCTCTAACCATGGCCATTCACGAATCACAGCCTTTCTTCTCCTCCTCCTCCTCCTCCTTTTCCTACTCCTCTTTCTTCACTGCCTTCCCATGCACTGGACTGACCTCCTCCAGCCTTTATTGCACCCCATTCTGAAAGACCGATTTGGCTTCCTGTTTATTAAGGCTGTGACACATGGGACTTTCTTTCAGGGCTTCTGTTCAACTCTGAGGCCAAATTATAACAAAATGCTATTGCAGAGCTAGATATATGGTTCAGTCGTATCAGTTAAGAGTACTGACTGCGCACCAGGGTTCAGTTGTTAGCACCTATATGGTTACTGTTTGTAACTCCAGTTCCAAGGGGATATGATGCCCTCTTTTGGCCTCTGAGGCCAAGAGGAGCCCAGACATAACATGCAGGCAAAACATCCGCCGCATACATGGAATAAAAATAAAAAATTCAATTTTTTTAAGTGTCATTGCCCCCCATGCTTTCTTAGGCCCTGGAGAATAAGAAGACAAAAGTGAAGATGTAAGGATCAGGGGTACCTAGTGAAGATGGTACCCATCACCCTCTGCTCTTCCCCGACCCCAATTTCACTACACAGAGGCTATGTCTCAATGCCCAATCAGGTGTGCCTTCTTCTGCCCTCTCCCAACTCATGGCCAGGCCACACCCTTACCTATTCCAAGTTGTCTTCCCAGAAGCATCTGGTTAGTTGAAGAACCTCATGATTCTCCATAAGTCAGTGTGAGTCACTCAAAGGGACTGTGGTCAAGGGTCTCCTGGCTTATCTAGTCACTGCCAGAACCATGGTAACACATCACCAACAGGCCACACTGCAATGCCTAGTAACCGTGGCTGCATTTTTCCAGCTCAATCAGGAAGGAGCAAAACTTACATCTGTGGCCCCAGGCACCTCCCTGGATGGATGGCAGAGCCCTCACAGCCCAATGTATTGTCAAAGCACAGCAAGGCATGGGGTTTGGGGGTAAGGAGCTACTATATCCTGCTCATCTTCAGGACTCCCAGACCAGTGGTTCTCAACCTGGGGTAGAGACCCCTTTGGCAAACCTCTCTCCAAAACTATTCACATTATGATTTATAACAGTAACAAAATCATAGTTATAAAGTAGCAACAAAAATAATTTTATGGTTGGGGCCACCACTACATGAGAAACTGTATTAAGGAATCACTCACAGCATTGGGAGGTTTGACCAGTACTGTCCTGACCTGGTGCCCAATAGCTCTCTGGATTCTGCACTCATGACCAAGGCAATGCCTTAGGGTGGCCTAGATGCTCACTCCTGTGCTCAAGAGACTAGCCATTGCTCTTGGGCTAGTGGCCATGGCATTGAGAAGGTAGATAGGCCTGAATCGGGACGCTTAGAAGGCTCAGCCAGGCTGTGACTCACTGTTCGTGGTGAGCTTTGTGAGTGTGATCTTGTTCCACACATTCAGGAACAGCCCCACCAACACATATCAGAACCAGCAGCAAATGGGCACTAATTAACTTCTGCCATAGCTGGAAACAGAGTCATGACCTAAAGGTCACCCGTTCCCCCTCTGCTGTTCCCGTCCTGATGGCCCCCTCCGCTTGTTCGCCTGTCACTGATTTCTATGAATCCCAGACCACAGATCCCCTCCCCAGGTGGCACCTTTGACCCCGAGAGTGCCTCACCCGTAGTTTCTGCTGCCCACGCAGTTGTTCAGCCATTTGCAGTGGTGGTCGAAGCCAGAGACACATTTGTTGCAGGAGCTGCAATGCTTGGCTTTCTTGCTCCTGGGAGAGAAATCGGGAGAAACAGCCTGCTGGTCCCAAATGAACCACGGGAACTGAATGCCTACCATAAAATGGAGGGTGGGTCCTCTAGTTGAAGTCAGAAGGGGGTTGGAAGTCTGTAGGAAAGACAAGGTCATCTTGGGAGTGAGGTGAGCCTGTGCCCACAGGCACTGCTCTTGGAAGGTGGACCCTGGACATGCCTATAAGTAGGTTTGTTTGCTAGATGGGAGCCTGAAAGGCTGTTGGTACCTCCCCCAGTATCTACAGTGCCTTCCTGTAGCCAACTCAGTGTGTTGCCCTCCTCGGGTCCTGGAGACCTTGGATCCCACCAGGATCAGCTGAAACTGCCCTCCCTTCTTCCCAGTTGGGAATGTGAGGTTTATCAGAAAACCATAAGAAAGTGGCACATTTGCCCCCCAACCACGACCACCACAAATAAGGGTCTCTGTGTACAAGAGAATCTGAGAATAACATAGCTGGACCTTAGATTGCAGCTCTTCATTCCAAGGGAAAGAAGCACTGGGAACTGGAAGGCAGGATTCCAGGTCTATAGGGTAGGGCGGTATAGTGTGGCTTCCTGGAGGGGTGTGGGCTGTGAACACATGGGGTGCCACAAAGGGCCAGTGCCCAACAGCAGCAGGATCAGCTGGTCAACTATGGGGTCACAGGCAGCAGTCCTCTCCACCCAGACTTCTAAAAGTGACCCTGCCCCACTGCTCAGCAGAGACTCCACTCACACAGTAACCTCACACAGGTTGCAGTACTGGTTCTGGATCACGTGTGCGTGTTTGGACCGGTCGAAGGTCGGCACAGGCTCCGAGTAGTCCTTTTTGTGTCGGACATTGGTGTCAGCTGGATCAATGGTAGTTGCGACCAAGTGCACGATGAGGTGGAACAAGGACAACCCACCCATCAGCTGGGGCTGTCAAGGAACACACAGCCCTGGGCTTGGCTGACATGATGTAAGGTGTCTCCCAGGGACTGAGGAAAGACCCTGGAACTCCTAGTCATTGCTATCTGCAGCACCTGAGATCAGATCCTATAGAGACACTCTCTTCAGAGACCCAGCCAAGCCAGTCAACTACTGGCCACAGTGTGCACAAGCCCTGAAATGCCTTATGTGAGCAGGTACAAGGAAGAGCTTGGAATGATAGCTTCAGAGGCTCAAAGTGGTTTACCTGGTGGTGAGTGTTTCATAGGTGGGAGATGCCTAGGGTATAACTGGGACCAGGTCATACCAGCCCATGTAGGAAAGGCGATCACATTGGTAGTAGAGTTACTGTGGGCCACAGCATAGTAGAAAATTATGTTAACCAGAAACATGAAGGCTAGGCAGCAGTCAGAGGGTACTCCCCAACCTCAGCCTGAGTTAGAACTTTCTGGGCCACCAGACTCTCAAGTACCTTTGGGCTTTGTTCATCTGAGCCTACGTGACCAGGAGGAGAAGGTCTTTGTCTCCTCCATCCCTCCTCCTGTCTCTAGGATAATATACAAAAGGGCTCTACTCTGTTGTTCTGCCTTCCTGGTGAGCCAGCATTTACAGTATCTCCAGTGGAAGCCAACAGGGTTCCCTATACTACAGCCTAAGCTTGTGCCAGTAGTCAGGCTACCTTGTGTCCAGACAAGACAAAGGCCATAAGCATAGACAACATAGACATAAAACCATAGACCTAAAAGAACTCCAATGAAGGTTTCAAAAAAAATCAATGAGGTAAGATAGGCCTGTGAGAGGCCCAGAGAGTAACCCAAACCCTGGACAGATCCTGTCTTGCTCACCCATCTTCCAGCATGAGCTGTCCAGTGCCCAGATTTCTGGGTATGGGCACAGGACTGGAAAGCAGGTTCAGTGCACAGAGAAGTGACTGTGAGAAAGACAGAAAGCTGTATTCCAGGAGGACAGAGCAGAAGCTGGTGCAGGGCTGGGTGAGTGTGTGGCAAAAGTGGCTGGGCGGTACATGCGGCAACAGAAAAGTTCCATCTGAGCCCCAGTGAACTCACATATGGCCTGCCAGGGAGGCGAGACAGATACCCAAAGCCCTTCCTATGGCCACCCTGCCCCCATAGCGTTGGGGCATTGGTCTATTGCAGAACAGATTGTAGCTATAGTATAGGACAGTGAGACTAGGCACAGGGTCACTCAGTTGTTGATACTACCATGATCAAGAGCATGGGCCAGCGGTTGATCCCACCCTTGGAAGCCGAATTGAGGAGGGCTGATGTGCTGCCCTCGTGGTGATGAGGAGTGGGGAGCATGTTCAGAGCCAGGGACGTTGATGGGTGAGGGCCAACAATACAGGAAGTCTCACACTGCTTGGGTATTGGCTCTTTCCCTGTAACACTACAGTAGACCTGTACTAAAGGAAACCAGTGGGCAGGTAGGAAGCCCAAGAGGACTTTTGAAGAACAAACGAGAAGCCCTCCATGACTATGCCCTGTGATACCCTCATGTAGTCTCTAAATCACAGTATCCATACTCTGATCACATATGTAAGTCCCACTGTTGAAGGTTCCTGGGGCACAGGCTGATCATAGGGAGGCTATAGTTGCAAAGTAGTTCTCAGGGTACAGCCAGGTTCCCTTGAACCTGGACCTGCCACGCAGTCAGTACTCAGCCTTCGTGTGGAGTACCAGGAGGACACCCTAAAAGCACCAATATGGCATAAAAAGTCTCCAGTCCCTTGGGAACTCGGATCTCAGACACAACCGTCCCCTGTCCCTCTAGGACATGGAGCTCTCCTAGGAAAGAAGTTGCAACACATCTTTTTATCACATTTTCCTGCACACAGCTTGTCCATGAACACTGTGCCAGCAAATTCTGTACCATTCAGGGATATTTCTGTCACCCACAAGAATCGTGCTCCAAATGACCTGGCTGGCCACTCCCTACCACACACCAAGGTGACATTCCCAAGGGAGCCCAGAAGAAAAATCTTCAGGATCTGCCCCTGATTTCACGTAAGTCTTGTCTCAGTGGATGGCTAAACGTGAAAGCAGGGTGAGGCATACTCCATGGAGGCCTCCCTCCAACTCCCTCTGGAACTTTCCATGTGGGAGCCTATGAGAACCACAGCTGGCTGGAACATTCCCTAGCAACAATCTGTGTTTAGTAAACAAACAAAGGAAGGGCGCCAGCTCAGGACACCACCCTCCTCAGTCTCCTCGAACTAGTGACCTCTCCCTTGTCCTGTTTCCGCAGGAAGAGGGGAGGCCTAGGAGAAGCCAACATTCTGGTACTGTCTTGGCTCATGATTCCTCTAGGGCAAATTCTGTGGTTGAGCTACACAGCAGCCTAAGACACCCTGCTCGACGCCCCCACGCCTAGTGCACATTTATAACAAACCCAGGACTCTGAAACAGATATCTATGGTTAGATTTTGATGCTGCACAGCAAACCCTACTGTCTAAGCTGTTTATCTGTTCCCTTGTCAACAAGGTAGGAGTCCCACTAGCTACAGGACCCTCATGGGTCCCCAGAATGGCCATCCCTTTCTCTTCTGCACCACAAGAAGGATATTCAGGCTTTTTCTTTTCTGCCTCTAGTTTCCTCAGGTCCCCTCCACAGAAAACCCTTGTTCTTCCCCTAACCCAGCCCCTCATTTCCCAGCCCCTCATGGTGCCTAGAAGGTGCCAAATGATGTTGGCGCCCTCTAGTGGCTATAAACTAGCACTAAGTACTGCTGGTTTGAGCGTGACCCCGGTGCAGCCAGGCTGGGGACAGGTTAGTAAAAGGGTTCCAGAGATAATAGCCTGATATAAAAATCAAGAAAGCTCCTGGGGCTGCAACTTCTCTGGACACTGGCTGGGGGCTGAGCTACCGAGTGGGTAGCTCAGGGAAGGAATGGAAGCCAGGCATTTGGGTATGCAGGAGGAATGGGACACATAATAGCAAAGCAGTTCAGCCCACTGCAGTAAACACAGATGCAGGATCAAACAGGGATACAAATAAGAAGGCAGGCAGTGATTGAGGCAGAGCATACCTCCTAATATACCCATGTCCTGACACCAAAACTGGCAAGTCTCACTTGCAAAATAGGTATCACCAACCAGGTAAATGGGAACAGTGGGGACAATCTGATCCACTGTGATCACAGACCTTATAAAAATGGGGACTGTAGGCTGACACCGTGGCTCAGTAGCTGAAAGAGATTTCTATGTGAGCCTGACAGCCTGGATCCTATGGTAGAAGGAGAGGACTGATTCCTGAAATTTGTCCTCTGAACTCCACACACATGCTACGGGGCAAGCATCACACACACACACACACACACACACACACACACACACACACACACACAAACATTTCATGGGAAACACAACAGACTGGATTGCCAGGACAGAAGACGGGTGAACACAGGGAGAAGACAGCACCACAGGCCAAGGACCAGGTGACATGGTACCCTCCAGGTCTTTCAGGACACCGTCACCCTGTGTCACTTTCATTTCAGACTGCTACCCCCAAAACTAAGAGGAAAACATCATCTCTTGCCTAAGACACCCTGAGGAGCTCTGTTAAGACAGTCTTGGTCTCACACATTACCCCACAGAACCGATGGATACAAAATACAAGATACAAGACAGAGGAAACAAGATGGAAGGTAAGGTGGCGGGTAGGAAGGGAAACCCTCCTTTCTAGGGCATAGGCAGGCAAGTTCAGTGGCCGATCAGGAGATTCAACACTGTCTGTTGCTGTGCCCCCACGGGTACTCCACCCTAATGACAGAGTGTTGTGCCAACACCTGTCAACCTGACAGGCCACAGGTCACCTGATATCTCAGACATGCTTAGCCAAGTTCAGACTGGCAGCTGCCAAGCTCCACTAAAGAGACAAAGAGGCTGCATCCTCATGTTCAAGACTCAGAGCTGTCTAGATTCTGGGTTTTAAACTCTCTTATAAAGGACATTTAGAAAATTAGAAATTGCTGAATTGTTGCCTGTTTTCCACCCATGATAACGACATCTAGTAAGGATGCCCTGCCTTGTGTTGCATGGACAGAAGCAGGGGGTTGAGTTATGCGTCTGATGACTTCAGTATCATCTCTTATCCCTCATTATGGTCAGGGGCCCAGGAGGCTCACAGGCTACACTGAAGGGCACACAGGAACAACTAGCATTGCTTTTCAACTCTTCAGACCTGGGGACTACCCAAGACAGATGCTATTGGAAGACAGAGGGTCTGGGTTTCAGGACAAAATAGAGGCTCATAGGCCAACAACAAGGTCTGGAGATTCTGGGGGACCAAGGAGGGTAGAGCAGAATTTATGGGATACATGCTAGGTATAGCGAGGTGGGCCACCACTGAGAGTTGGCACCTGTCACACTGATAAGAAGAAGGGAACATGGCTGGTGGAGTGCTATGTGTTTGAAGGGCATGACTCGAGCACCTACACCTTTCTGTCCCCTCCCTCAAAGGCACTTCTTCATGATTTAGTCCTGCTTGGCTCAAATGCCCATTCTATCTTGGTGCCTGAATAGAGCCTGGGCTTTAGCAAAGGCTCCTCTTGGAGCAGACAGGGATCTGAAGCTATTTACTCTACCATAGTTGATACCTACAGGCCATTCTCATCATATCTCCCCAAGATGGACTGAGTAAGAGTGTGTCCAGAATTCACACGTCTGGGAGGGATGTGCCTGGGATGTGTGCATATTCAGGGTGCATTGCTGGGGGGTGGGGTTCTGCTGAGGATACAAGTGTGTTCGGGATGTACATATGCCCAGGGTATGTGTATCTGGGATGTGTGTGTATGTGCCTGGCATATGTGTACTCAGGATGCATGTACAGAGTGGAGAAAGTCTTCCCAGGAAGCATGTGTGCCTGAGATATATGTATGCAAGATGTTTACACCTGAGGTGTGTGTGTGTGCGCGCGCGCGTGTGTGTGTGTGTGAGTGTGTGTGTGAGTGTGTGCACACATACACAAACACATGAGCCCAGGATGCATGTGTGCCTGAGATATATGTATGCAGGATGTTTACACCTGAGGTGTGTGTGTGAGTGTGTGCACACATACACAAACACATGAGCCCAGGATACACGTATGCCTGTGATGTGTGTTCTCTAAGTATCCAAGTATGTATGCCCATGATGTGTGTTCCAGGATATGTGTTCCCAGGGGTGCATGCTGCCAGGAAGTGTGTATACTTACAGGGTACCTGCCAATATCATCATTAGTTTCTCCCTAAAAATAAGTCTCCAACCACTAAAAGACTGCATGGTCAGCTAACCTTCTACTCCAGGAGAACAGGAAATGGGGCCTGTCTTAGTTATGATTTCTATTACTGTGATAAAAACATCATGACCAAAAGCAACTTGGGGAAGAAATGGTTTATTTCATTGTACACTTCCAGGTAATAGTCCGTCACTGAAGGAAGTCAGGGCAGGAACTCGAGCAGGACAGAAACCTGGAAGAAGGAACTGAAGCAGAAACCACGAAAGCACACTGCTTACTGTCTTACTACAGCTTGCTCAGCTTGCTGTTTTATACCATTCATGACTACCTGGTCCAGGGAAGGCATTGCCCACAGTAAGCTGGGCTCTCCCACATCAATTGTCAATCAAGAAAATGACCCACAGGCTTGCCTAGGGGCCAGTACTAGAGAGGCATTCTCTCAATCAAGCTTCCCTCTCCCGAAATGACTCTGTCAAATTGACATAAAAATTAGACAGCACAGGGTCCAACCTTTCAGGGAAAGCATAGTAGCATAAGGCTTTTACATGACCCAGAGATTGAACTCTAAGACTCTGGTGAGGCAGCCAGTGACCTACAATTCCACTTAAAGATGATAGAAAAAGATCATCACAGTAATCTTGAAGTTAGTTAAAAGAAGAAATAATAAAAATAAAGCTGAAAAATTAAAGAGAAAAAGAGGCCAAGAGTAGGGAAAAGTAATAAATTGTAAAGGTGATTCTCTACTAGAAAGTCAGGTACTGGTGCACACCTGCAAGCCCAGCATTTGAGAGGCTGGGGCAGGGAGTGTGGGAGCGCACAGTGAGCCTACACTGCACGAGAAACCAATTTCAGGTGAAAAGAAATAGTGGGAGGGGAAGAAAGGAATGAAGTAAAGGGAGGGAGGGAGGGAGGGAGGGAGGGAGGACAGGAAGGAAGGAAGGAGGGAGGCCCGGAGAGAGGGAGGGAGGAAGGAATGAAAGGAAAGGAAATCAAAGGAGACATGCTACTATATGTCCTGAAGCCAGATGTAGTAGTGGGGTACACATCTAATTCTAACACTTGGGGTTGAGTCTGGAGGATCACAAGTTCATGACCAGACTTGGCTACACAGAAAATCCTATGCAAAATAATTTGTATCCTTCAGAGATGAAATGAAAAATGTAGGAAATATTGTGAATAACTTTATTCAAGAAATTTGCCATTTTAGAAGGAATGCTCAAATTTCATGAATATAACTTACTAAAACGAACATGAGATGAAAGAGAAAACCTGAATAACTCTTTACCTGTTACATTGGACTCATTATCAAGAGCCTTCCCACAAATACCCCCGAGAAGAAAAGAAGCAGCCACAGCTACACTGGGAGATATTCTGCCCCAGATTCTTCAACCAAAGGCCAAGAGGTGCCGTACTGTGGGAAGTTTCAGGGTGCTGCAACCACGCACTGTGGTACAGTGAGTGCTTTGGGCTCAATCCCCAGCACTCACTAAAGTAATAAAGAAAATAGGGTCACTCAGTCTTGTGCACTGCACTGCCTACTTCTAACCACTACTCAGACATGCCTGGCCCTCCCGACTCCAGGACCTGCAGAACGTCAGCCAAAGCAATGTGCCCCATAGAACCTATAGCCAGATTATGTTCACCCTAAGATGGTATCCAGGGATCATCTGTGGTTTGTGGATGTAATTTTCTGGGCACAGGTCCACTTTGCAGCAGCTTGGCACTGGCTCTAATGTGGACCCATGCCTCAGGACCTGATTTCTCTGATCAGAGGCTAAGTGTGATGCTAGATTCCAGGTGCCCACCCTGATATACACCATAAAGAAAACATTGACATAAGTTTCCCTACTGCCCCGTGGAACCATCTCTAAAGGCCTTTCTATGCCTTAGGGCTAGTCTTTGTAGGGATATACAAGCACATTGGCAGGATGAGGGTTGGAGGCAGTCAAGCAAATGCTTCTGAAGTCTTTTCTTATGGATCTAGCTACTCTGTGAGTCATCAGAGAGGGTCTTCTCTGTGCGCTGTAAGAAAGATAATATGACCGGAGTCACCACTGCCAGGACCTCCACTGTTACCTTGTACCTAGCATATTCCACGTTCACAGTAACAAGAGCCCCTTCCCTGGGCAAAGTGGAGTCACAGGACTGACTTCAGAGCCAAAGAAACAAGTGGTCTAGGCAGAGACAGAGCCCATTGCATAGGTGTGATGGGGTTCAGGGCCAGTTCTCTTGAGGACATTCAGAAGTCCCTCCACCTCCAAGAGATAGGCAGCCCAGGGCCCCGCCCCACTAGCACAAAGGATACAACATAGGCAGCGTATTTCCAGCTCCTTGGCAGAAAGGGGATGAAGATCCCAAAGGCAGCAACGAAAATGACCAGAGAGGTGGTCCAGGATATTGCCTGGAAGGAGTGGAGGGGCGGTGACCAGCCATTCACCCTGGATAAAGGGCGTGGTACGATCTTCTTCACATTGTTGGCCTGGGCTTCTGGGAGGACTCGGTTCCGGCTCACACCACAGATGTTTATCTGAGAGATAGAAAGGGCACAGCGCGGTCTGTCCCTGGGCATAGAATGAGTGGCCTGCAATACCACTTGTCACTGTCGGGGAGGTCATCAGGACCTGGGCCAAAGGCTGATATCTATGTGGCAGGTTGGTATAGCTGACTAGGCTTGGCAGGAGATCCTTGTCCTGACAGGTAGGTTTGTAGAACCCAAAATAGTGGGCACACAAAATAGTGTGATATGTCTATCCCACCTCTGTGGGCACAGCTGTCCATGAATAGACCCCTGGTTGGGCCAGACCTGATAGAGCATCACCTCTCTCCTTGACACAATTCTGTCCTGAATGTTCAAGTGGCAAATACCAGAAAATACATAGAGAACAACACTGAGCCTATCCTATTGAAGAACCCAAGTCCATCCATTCATTCCCCTAGAACCTTACCTGTCAGTGTGTTCCCTCCTAGAAGGGGGCTGCTATGAAGGACATCACTTAGGGAGGGGCCTGGGACAAGGGGAAAAACACAGTAGACTGATTTCACAGGAAAGGGCCCTGGCGGTGAGCCAACAAGATGAGGCATCATCTTCCTAACAGCCCCAAAGTTCAACTTTATTGTTGCAGTGTGAGAACATTCTTGCACCATACGCACCACACAAAGCTGCACACCACCTGTAGAACATATGCACCACTCAGTTCTTAGGACCCTGCACTCCTCTTCCTACCTGGCATGCCCATGCTGTCTCCTCTGCGGGTATCGGTCCGTATTCTGCCTGTGGCTCTTGCCAACACTCCTGCTTACCTACCTCAGAGCCACGCTCCACCCTCTGAGCTGGAGTCCCTTCATTCACCGCTTTCATAAGAGTGTAATTGATCCTCTCGAAATCTGAAGGCTAAGGGTGTCTGCAGCCTTAGTGAGCTGTGAGCTGTAGGCACTGGTGAGCTGTGGTTTCAGATCCAAGAATCAGTGGTACTGGGAGTTTCTAGCATCTGTGACTATTTTAACTCAGGTCTCTTGCTTCTATACCCCCCACCTTCACTGTAGATTTCAGTGTGGACTATGCCGTAGCTACTGACGCCGCTCTTGCCAACATTTCCAGAGCTTTCTGCATGGGTTACTCACAGTCATGAATTATCTCCTTTTCTTTGGCCTTAGGTTCCTCCCATATTTCTCTTTGATCTGTCCAACACCGCTGTTATCCACCCATCCTGCTCATGATTTCCTATCAGTACCCTCATTTCTTGGGAGGAGCCTTCCCAGTCTTGTCTATCTCATTGTATGTCTCCATGGAGAGGTTCATCAGACAGAAACCCTACCAGCTCCAAGAAACCAAAAAGGTCACATGATAGCTGGGGTCTCCCTGGCCCGGGGAGTTATGAGGTGAAACCCACTGCCTGTGGCCAATGTCTTACTCTGCCTCCTCACCTCTCTCATCGTCAGGTTGAGCAGCTAAGGTCAAACACTTATGCTCAGTGCTGAATTAAACAGCGGGAGGAACTTCCCATGTACAAAGCAGATATAGAACATCTCACAAAGGAAGGTTCCAAAGCTCATAAAGCCACAGCCCCTGCAACCAAGGAGACTACCTGCTGTTGACTGGAAGACAGAACCGAGGTGGGAGACAAACAGGTAGCATAGTTAGGTGGGAGTGGGGCTAGCTGATTCACATGGGTGGGACTCTGAAGGCAGAGCCCAGCCTCACCACCCACATCTGAATTGGTTTTACATGGTCCTGAGTTTTGGCAACTATTGTAATCTCTTAATGAAGGCCATCAGCTTGTGTGTGGGCCTCTCTGACATGTCCCTCCAATTCCAACTTCTTTACACTTGATCCCCACCATTTTTGCTGTAGAAGCTAAGGGGCACATACCTCATGGAGAAACACAAAACTCTGAGCCTGACTATTCCTGACAGGCTACTCTCTGGTGGCCATGGGTCTGGACAGCCCAGTGGTGTTTCTTAGACTATGGACTCTGAGTGGTGAGTTGAAGCCCCAGGCTCTTCTGAGAATTTCCAAATACAATGCTACTTAAGTCTTTTCCCTCAGTGTCTCATATTTTAGATTAAGAAATGTTTAGCTCCTATTCGTGGACTCCTAAAATGATATGGATGCTCCCAGCATGGACCGGCTGCTGATGCAGCCCCGGAACTGAGTCAGGATGGACAGAATAAACCCTTTCCATCCACAGCAGCCCCTATGGTGGTATGCAGCACCCCCAGAAAGCCACTTGCAGGCAGGATGTTGGTGGTGGTTGAAGGCTGCTGCGCCTGGCTCTGCTGCCAATGTCCACATGGACCAGGGTTCTTGCCTGAGGCCACCGTCCAGTGTATGGAAAGCATGCTATTAAGGGACTAGAAAGTACTGAAGACTCTGGGTAGAGTGGGCTGAGAACATGATGGGGGGGACGACTGGAGGGAAGGCCAGTCTGCTATGGTGGGATTCATAATCTCTGCCTTGGACAGTCTGGGGCTAGGTTACTGGGGAGCTCCTTGCTCCTACATGTGGTACTAAACTCGCAAGGGTGACAGTAAGCCTCCCAAAATGCATCTCTCCTCACATCATCTCTGTGTGGCTCTCAGGATCTATTCCTGTATTCAGGACCTCTCTGCAGGGCTGGAAATGAGAAGTTTTGGTAAAATCTTCCTCATTCTCAATGAAAACTGCTGCCTACTGCTGAGCCCAAAGTCTGGCCAGTATTCACTATGGCCTGCAGTGCCTGGCCCTCATGTTAGAGCAAAAGGTGGTGCCAATGTTGTTTAACTCTTCTTTCCTTCTGAAGATTTGGAGAAAATTGCTGTGTACATACACCTGACTGCGTATCTTCACCGCTACAACCCACATCTACACAGCCCATTTGCACACTGCTCACCTGCACACTCCCACATCTGTACATACACTTCACATTCACACCCTCATCTGCATGTACAGTGGTACATACCTTCGTTGGTGTAATCTTCACCAGAAACATGCCAGTTCTTATCTCTACCTGCATATACACATAAATATACATAATGTTGGGGAATGGTATTTTCAGGTGTGTTACTTTTGTTTATGTTGCATTTGATTAACTGGGAAGCTGTGATTCTTTATCTGTCTAAAACGCCTGATGGTCCTAATAGATGAATGGTCCATAGAGAGGCAAAGCAAGGGCAGGTGGGGCTGGTGGGCAGAGAGGATAAAAGAATGAGGCACAGCAACAGAACAAGGAGAGGAGGGCGTCAGGGGCCAACCACATAGCTACCCAGCCAGTCGTGGAGTCAGAGTGAAGATGAGATACACAGAAGTAAAAAAGGAAAAAGCCCAGAGGGTAAGATGGTCGGGATAACTTAAGAAAAGCAGGTAAGAAACAAGCCAAGGCCAGACATTCATAAGAATAAGTCTCTGTGTGATTTATTTGGGAACTGGTGGTGGGCCCCTCAAAAGGCCAAGGGTGAGACATCACACAACACATACCTTTACTTGCACACACTATCTATACACACACCTCCCATTTGATCTGTGCTATACATACACATTCCAATCTAAAAGAGATGCAAAGGGAGTTTCAGCTATCTTACATCTTGATCTGACCTTTTCCTTTCCTGAGATGGTGGTGGTTCCCAGGAGTGAGACGCAAGCCTATGGGTGACATCCAGCCAGTGAGGTTGAAGATTCGCCCCATATCCTACTTAGTCAGCTGTTATGATGAGTTTTGAGTTTGGCCAGGAATGTCTGGCTTCCAGGGCCTCTCCAGTACCCAGGACTGAGCAGTGGCCAAGCTGCAGTATCAGGTAAGGAGAGGTCACCTAAGGTTGGACTCCAAGATACACAGTGAAGGCAAATACGAGACCCCACTATTGTGGAATACCCAGAACTGGCGAATCCAGAGAATGAGCTGATGACCTCAATGAGCACGGAGTTCATTTGTAGGGTGCTGGAAATGCTCTGAAACTTAATGTCAGTAGTGGCTGCATAAAAAATAAATCTACCAAATGAGTTATATGATTTAAATGGTAAGTGGTTTAGATTTATGCTGTTAACTTCACCAAATTAAAGATAAAATGTCTTTCAACAGTGAAGACACTGAATTGTTTTTCTTCCTTTCCTCTGAAAGGGTGGTTGAATGCCTACCCTGTACCTCAGCATCTCCCAAGGCTCCTGTATAGTAATACTGCCACGGTGAGGACCATAGGACATGGACCTCCAGCGTGCAGTACAGATGCCCTTTGCTAGCCCAGGTTCCCATTCTAGCTCACTACGTGGAGGCCACCTTGGACATGTGTAGTGTACCAGTGAGAAAGAGGCCCTGAAGAGAAGCTCTGTTCCTCTAAGGTTGCCTAGGCCTGGGAGCCTAAAGACTGGAGTGGCACAGCCCGTCACATGATGCTACAGACCAGAACCAACCTTTCCAGTCTCCCTCCCAGTGGGGGCACTGGCCCAGAGTAAGTTAGCCTGAACAGAGAGGTGGCAGTCTCAAGACAAGACATATTGGTCCTAGGAAGCAGGCAGACTTTAACAAGTCCTGCTCCTGGCGCAGACTAGACTCAGCTACCACTTAACTAATGCTTTATCCAGATGTGAGATGATCTGTCCTTCGCTAATGACTGGCAAATCTCAAGGACTCCCATAGACCACTGTTGCTTCCAGCTGCTTGCTCATGCCAGGAATGCCACCTGCTATACCCTTCCAGTCACAGCCCGTCTCCCCTAGAAACTCAACTTCCATCTGCAGCTGGCCTGTGCAGGTGGGGTTTTCTTTGCTCTTCTATTCCCGAAAAGGAGCAGGATGTCTAGCTGGTCTACAGGACACAAAAGGTGTCCCCACCATCACAGCAGACAAGATGACCACAGAGTCACCACCTTTGGCATCTCTTTATTGGGACCTATGTTCGTGTATTTTGCAAATACAAACAGGTACTTAGCAAATACATGTGTAGTTTTGAAACATTTTATGGGTCTGAAACATTTGTGGGCATTTACTTCATTCTAAAATGTGGGGTGGTTCATTATTTGTCAGGGAGACATCTCCATCCTCAAGTGACCAAACAGAAAATAGAAGCTACCTGAAGGCCTGTTCTGCAGGCTCCCCTTTGAGAACTGCAGGACAGCTGTTCAGGACTCATGTAGAATGACTATGATTGATCATAAACACACTCGGTCTCTGGGGCTCAGAAGAGACCAACACTCTCGTGTTCTATTGTCACTTCTCAGAACTTAGAGGGCATCACTTGGTGCTGTTGGGCCTCTTCTGTGGACATGGCAGCACAGACACACCACCATCTTCCTCAGGCTGCTACATGCCAGAGAAGATGAGACAAAAGTTTCTGTCTTATGACAAAAAACCGTGTATCAAAAAAACTTGGGAAAAAAAAAAAAAGAAAAAGAAAACAGCTGGAAAGCCCACAAGTTAGTTCTTGGCAGAAGCTGCAGGTTCTGGAGACTGAAGGAATTCATAAGGGTCATGGGTAACATCCGGCTGCTCCCCAACACTAAGGCGAGAAGGACTTCCTGTAGGTTTAAAAGAACACAGCATTTAAGAACACAAAACAGATCTGCAAAGCTTATGAGACCAACATCTGTGATTGATTGATAAATGTCCTCCCTGATACCACACACAGGTGCATACATACTCTGAATTAGGGCTGCCTGCAACCTCCTAAGGCTCTACTTTGCTTGATACCCTGATCACAAGGTGATCAGAACAAAAACCAAATCTTAGTCTCTCTTCTGGCAGCTGCAGTCAGGCTTTCTTTGAAAAGATCAGGATTCATTCTGTACACGGAATACTTCAGAAGCACGAGAGGTCAAAAGAGAACAGATGGCAGCGGAGGCCAGGGAAAGCAGCTCCTAAAGGCCTAACCCATTGCTCTGTGTTAGCCAGACTTAGTTATCTTTAGCTGAGGGTCCTATAAATAAATACCAGGGACTAGAAGACCATAGAGAAAAGACATTACCAAAGAAACTGGCATGCAAGAGGCCGTGTTTGATGCTGTGTTCACCAGGAAGTTAAGAGGTTGACTGAGCAGAGATCTCAGGATTGATACGGAGCTATAATGGCTTTTCTGAGTCCTATGCTGGGATGGGACCGGTGTGGGAAGGACTTGTATCAGCACGTAAAATTTAAAGTGCAAAAGCAATCAAGAGCTGGGTGATGGTGGCGTACGCCTTTAATCCCAGCACTCGGGAGGCAGAGGCAGGAGGATCTCTGTGAGTTTGAGACCAGCCTGGTCTACAGAGCTAGTTCCAGGACAGGCTCCAAAGCCACAGAGAAACCCTGTCTTGAAAAATCAAAAAAAAAAAAAAAAAAAAAAAAGCAATCAAGAGGTGATGGGAAAAAGGAAAAGCGAACAAAGGAGTCTATCTATAATGTCACTCAAAGGCAAACAGGATAAGATTTGTGTCAAGCCAGAATTCACAAGGACAAACACCGACAGAAAGTCAGACGCTGTTGGTCAGCTGTTGGAAGGCTTTAAAGCCTAAGCAACAGTTCATAAAAGACATAAGTGATAAAACTTCAAATGAAAAAAATTAAGCTGTCCTAGAGATGGGTAACTATCCCCCCAGAGCTTACTTTATGTATTTCTCTCCTGCAACGAAGTACACCTGGGATGGATGGTTTTCTTGTTTGTTTTAAACCCAGCTCCGTTCCTTTCAACAGTGAAGTGTGGCCAATGGGAAGACAAGAGCTGTGGTGCTATCTCAGAACCTGTCATAACTAGGTATCTAGTTCTAGGGGCAGGCATAGCAGGCCGAGTGCAGCCCTGATTTCCCTTGGTCTTATGCCGGATGCCAGAATGAGCAAAACATGCTAGCCCAATAAGACTCCCTGGTGCAACGACATGCAGTGGCCCTATGGTGGCAGCACTGCCCCAGGATAACAGGGCTAACAGCTCACGGAAAGGGAGTCTGTCTAGACAGGATAGTGTCTAGTCCGTGCTCCCCCACAAACTGTCCTGGGGAAACATAAACCTCAAACCATAAAGGCTTTTGCCACTGGCAAAGCTGCATGCCAGAATAAGACAGTAACTCTACTACTGATGACACACATACTATTGTTACAGGACATGGAAAAATCAGGCTGAGACTGAGCTACAAACTCTCTTCCTGCCAGTTGGTTTTCATACTGCTAGATGGGGTTAGGTGAGCTACTATTCGGGAGAGAACTGTCATCAGCAGTACCAACATGCTGTGTGTGGTGGTTTGAATGAGAATGGTCTCCATAGGCTCACACGTCTGAATGTTTGGTCCTCAGACAGTGGGACTGTTTGCAAAGGATTAGAGGTGTGGCCCTGTTGGAGGAGGTCTGTCACTGAGAGGTGAGGTTGGTGCCTGTGAATGAAGATGTAAGTTCTTAGCTGCTGATTGATCCAGTGCCAAGACTACCTGTCCATCACCTCTACCACACTCCCTGCCATGACGATCACAGACTAATCCTCTGAAACTGTAGCCACAGTTTTGAGACAGGGTTTTCTATGTAGCTCTGATTATCCTGGAACTCACCACACAGACCATGTTGGCCTTGAACTCATGGAGATCCACTTGCCTCTGCCTCCTGAGTGCTGGGATTAAAGGTGTGTGCTACCATGCCTGGTACTTTCTGATTGAATTAATGCAGGAAGAGACTCACATATAGTTTTGTGATCCAGGGCAAAAGCCAGTGACTGGGGAGGTCACAGGGCTCAGCAGGGAAGCAACTACTATTGCTTTGTTAAATGGAGGGATATGTCTGTCAATCTGCCTTCGAAACATTCGTGTTTATGCCCATAGAGCACTACTGCTGCCAGCCTCAGCTCTTAGGAATAAAAAAGACTGCTGATGTGCAACAGTGTCCAGTGCTCAGAAACAGAGGAAAACAATCATCTCACTCACTCTAAAGCTTAAGGAACATCATGGGAGGAGAGACAGGAGGAACGACTTACCTATGCTCCTATAAACCCCAGAAACTCACTGGTTCACTAAGACACTTCTTTGTCCTGTTGTCAGTGCCACATCTGGGAAACTCATACGACAGGCTCAGGAAACTACAGAGATCTCAGATCCTACATGGGGCTGGGATACTCAGAGTGCTAGTACAGAAACCCCTCACCAGGGATGGTGACACACTCTCCCAACAGAAAATGAACACTCCATTGGCTGATAGAGTCAAGGAAAAAATATAGAATGGAAGGAAAGGTGGCAACAAATCTATATTAAAAACAAATATCCTGCCCCCTCCCCAAGATGCACAAGGGTGTAGAGATCTCCCAGAACAACAACAATAAACCCTGGTGAAGGCCACCATCCTGGCCCTGTGGGCCCGATCCCTCCACTAGCCTGTGTGAGACCCTTACCTGGCGGGTGCTGCTCCCTCTCAGAGGCAGTGGACAGAGAGCTGAGATTGGAGGATGGCCGGGAGCCTCCTCGCTCTGCTTGTGCTTCGTGCAAGTCCTGCAGGAGCCTGGTTGTCTCGTCCAAGTTCAAGTGGCTCTCATCGTGGTCCAGCTCCTTCTTCACTTTCCCTATGTGACAAATATGATGCAATGCTGGTAAGCTTCGTCAGCACACACAGACCAGACACAGCACAGCTGTTCTGTAAGATCACTGCTGGAGTAGCTCACAGCAGAGAACCCCATGTGAGACAGGCCAGGGCTGGTAGGAGGCAAGGGAGCACACCCAGTGTCTCTCACAAGCAGAATGCCACGCTGAATCTCAGCCATCCAATGCACCAACACTATGGACAACTTTGTCAACAGGAAAGATGTGTCTGTCTGATGCTGGCCTCCGGCCATAAACAGAGAATGCAGACAGAATATGCAAATAAGTACGCCGAGCAGGGTCTCCACCCAGATTCCACGCCTAGGGTCCAGTGTTGACTTGTCTTAGCCAAAGAACTACCTTGAACCTGTGAAAGGACACAGCTTAGCCAGAAGGGCTAGGAGCCCACCTTTGCCCTGTATTAAGAGTGACCTTAGCGGGGCTGGAGAGATGGCTCAGAGGTTAAGAGCACTGACTGCTCTTCCAAAGGTCTTGAGTTCAATTCCCAGCAACCACATGGTGGCTCACAACCATCCGTAATGGGGTCTGGTGCCCTCTTCTGGCCTGCAGGCATACACACAGACAGAACACTGTATACATAATAAATAAATAAATAAATAAATAAATAAGTAAATAAATAAATAAATAAATAAAATATTTTAAAAAAAAGAGTGACCTTAGGAACACCATGGAAGAGGAGGAAGAAAGACTAAGAATGAGAGGATCAGGGAGTATGCGGGGAGATTGTGTCTCCTAATAATAGAAACTGTACCCACATCTCACCAACATGACTGCCCAAATGTGGGCTATACAATACAATGCCAACGGTCATGCCAAAGTAGACAGGGAAAAGCCCAGGAGGCCTCAACCCCAAGAACTATAGGCAACTAAGGAAAGCTGGGAATGTGGGGAGGTGGTCTTTCCCAGAGAAGAGAACATCAGCTGGTTGTCCACTGCTAAATGGTCAGCCCTGAAATTATACCTACAGCTAACACTATATAAACTGAACAGGTTATGTTTAGGAATATATATGTATATACATATTCATTATACCCATGTAAGAACCGTTAGTACAAGTCAGGCAATGGTGGTGCATGCCTTTAATTCCAGCACTCAAGAGGCAGAGGCAGACGGATCTCTGTGAGTTTGAGGCCAGCCTGGTCTACAAGAGCTAGTTCCAGAACAACTAGGACTGTTACACAGAAAAGCCCTGTCTCAATGCCTCCTCAAAAAAAGAACAGTTAGTGAAAGAAAGAGGCCATGAATTTGAAAGAGAGTGGAGATGAATAAATGAGAGGGTCTAGAGAAAGGAAACGAGAGGGAGAAATTTTGTAATTATATTTCAAAAATAAAATAAAACATTAAAAGCAAATAAAACCCCCCAAACAAACAAACACAAAAACCAAAAGGTGTCCCTGGAAATGGTCCCTGGGGTCCAGCACCCAGGATATAAACTCTGATACCATAAAAAAAACCTATAAAGCAGCACGAAAACATGTCCCAAACCATGGGGGTGGAAGGGTACAAACAACTTAGATAAGTCAGCAGGCAGAGCACTAATACACTAGAGTATTAGAAGGCAGAAGTATAACTTCAGGAGGGACTTCCCAAGACAAGGGTAACAGCATCTGTGCTGAGACACTACCAGAGCAAGAGAGGAGAGCCCTCAGATGCTCAGCAGGCAGAGGGACACTAACCAGGGAGCTTACTTGCCTAAGATGGTAGGCTGGTAACTGAAGGAACTATGGCCAGGAATTTCCAAATTTGGTAAAGGATATGAAAACCCCATGGTTTGAGAAGAATTAATCTAAAGGAAAGCAAACCAAAGTACATTATAACCCTATTTCTAAAAAGTTGTAAAGGGAAGAAAAATCTTACAAGTGCCAAGACAAAGGTAGTCTGTACGCTGGAAAATGTACTAAGCATCCTGGGCCACTGTCCCTAGGAAGGCTAGGATTCGGCCATTTGGTTTCGGGGAGGTAGGGAGTTCCCATCACTAACTGACACTGTTTATTCAGAGAATGTGGTACAACTACCCCCGTGGGGTCTGGAACCAATAAAGGCCAAGCCAGGAGGGGTGCATATAGTAGCACTAAATAGCCCCAACCAATCAAAACCCAGGTGCTGGGGGCCTATCAAGCATGCTGACACAGCTCACTGAAGGCCTGAACCGTGCTCCCTGTAACTCCATGATCACAGCTCCTTGGGGGTTTGCTTGCATCTGGTTCCCTCTGGACTTTCCCATTGTGCTTTCTCCCTCCAATGACTGTTTTCTTGTTTGTCTTAAAAGATCCTAGCCCTGAGTCCCAGCAGGCATCTGAGGTATCTTGAGGACAAGGACAGAGCTGACAAAAGACAATGACAGATCTAAACCCAATCCCTAAAAACTGTGGCAACGGGGAGGCTATAATGTTCACACACACACAAATCTACTTTCTCAGTCTGAAGCTGCTGACTCCGGGACCATCTTCACTGTAAGACGTGCGTCCTCTCCATGCCAGGTATATGCAAGGAGAAGCACGGAGGGCCTCGCTGTCTTCAATCTTAGGTGAAGGAACACACTGCACACCTCATGGAGGACAGCATTTCCAACAGTAGAGGGTTTATCCTTCAGGGAGTAAGCACACTGACACATGGCTGACACACACACCATGTCCGTGATCTCAGCTAACAAACAGGTATAGTTTCAAGTGGTAAAGCACAGGGGTGTGCCACCAGGGCTAATTGCAGCTTCTGTTCAGAGTGGCAAGCACCAGACCTGCCTGGGGTCGGTGACAGATGTCATTTCTGTTCAGCCATGCATAGCAGTCTGACCAAGAGAATCCGAAGAAAACACACTTTTTATTTCCTAGTCTCAAAAAAGTGTTTTTTGTTGGTGGCTTGTTTAGTTTGGGGTTTTGTTTGTTTTTGGTATTTCTGGTAAAGGGAATTGAACCCAGGACATTGTTCATGCTAAACAAGCACTCTACCACTGAACGGCACAGTTCTTCTGACACTGGCTTCAGTTGGGCTTTTAACTCACAGGGAGCCAGCAGATATCACATGGGTGTCCTAATCTCTAGTTCTGACCCTGTCCCCATATGTTGAGGGTATAATTAGGCCCTAACCACAGCCCCAGGGTGTTTCCTGTTCTGACTAGTGGTAAGTTAACTCCACAGGTTCTCCTTGGCTGTGTTATTTTCCAGGGTAGTTTGTGAGCACAGAGAAACCAAACAAGGCTCTCTTACTACATCACACATCACAGGTGGGCACATAAAACAGTGCCCAGGATGCCTCACCCAGAGAGCTGAGCATGGACACATCCAGAGAGACATCAGGGTATGGTTTCATTGACATGAAATCCAGAACAGGGCCACTATCTCCTAGTGGGTCCCCAACCTGCAGAAGATGAGAAAAATATTGATTAAACAGACAGCACAATTGTCAGCTAATGCCAGCAGTATAAATCAACAGCCTGTGCTAATTTGAGCCCACCTCACAGTAACACAAATGAGCACTATCCTAAAGGCTGCAGTTCAAGGAACATGGAATCCAAGATTATTAGTAGAAATGCAAATGTCCAGGGACCTAGTCAGATCAACACACCTCTGACAACTTTCCTCTCTACTAAGAGTAAACAACCCTTTGCTAACTTCTTAGGAATTCGTTAACACATGGAACTCAAGGGCTCGCCACCACCTTTTTCAGGAGTAATGCGACAGATTCCAAAACCAAAGGCTCCTCTTCTAGCAAGGGTAAGACTGCAGTTTCCCAGGACTCTGAGAGCTCCTGTTGCCCAGCCTCTGCTCATATCTTCATACTAAGGTCTCACAGCATTCCATGGGAACTTAATCTCCTCAGGTACATGGGTCTCTGCTGGCCAGTGGGTAAACTTTGCAGCACAAGCCCAAGTCACAAGGGAAATGGGTCCCCACCCTGCCTGAGGACAGTGCCCAGCTGATGGCTTTGAACTTGTCTCTGAGCTTAGATTACAGCCCTCTGGTTCAGGTCACTCAGGTAAGCAGATGACAGCAAAGCAGGGCCACTGAAGCCCCTCTTCAACAACTAGCAGCCCCTGGACAGAAGGACAAGAGGCTGGCCACTCACTGCAATGACTAGTAACTACAGACACTCCAAAAGCTGAGCTTCTGTGCACATGCTGGGGAAACCCACCTTCACGTCATCTGCAGGTCTCATGGGGATGCTCCTCCTCTGCCAAGCAACAAGACAGGACACAAGTTTGCCATCAGTTTTCCATTACAAGGTGATCACTTACATTGCACCAACAGTGGCTTGCTCACTGCCTGGGGTTCTGCTCATTACACCCTCACTACATCTACACCTGAAGCAGGGGTTTTACAGGTCTCTTCACAGGCGGTAGTGAAGTTAGACCACAGCTGGTCAACTCATTCAGTTTCAGCCAAGGGTTCAATACCACGCTGGGGCTGGGGTGAAGGGGAATATGGGTAAGAGGATTCCCAATTTTATATCGAAACCAATTATTAAAACAAACAAAAATGGGCAGCCTGAGAAAAAGAGGCCTGGATGATTAGTCTAGAACAATGGATGTGGACTGATGGAGGCAGCAGAGATATCTACTGCACTGCTGGAATGGGATGAGCTACATGTCCCCTGCTCTGGGAAGAGCATGCCTTCAAAAACACCCTATTTTTAGGTACATTCCCCAAAAAAGATCATTTGGTATGTACTTCCACAGATTTGATCATGTAATATTTTTTAACTAACTTTTAATTAGAAATATGGCCTTTATTTTACCATCTGTTCCTCGCGGAAGATTCCTCTAGCATTACACCTTGAGTACTGAGCACCACTTTTACTGTGGCCGTATATGTGAAATCCAGAGTTCCCCAACAGCACAGCCTCACTTCAGGGACACATGGAGCAGTTTCCTGCCATACCAGACAATCCGTAGCTAGAAATGGCCTGGCTGGGACAGCAAAATGCATCATCAGGTAAAAGCACTTGCTGCTCAAGCTGAGAACCTGAGTTTGGTCCCGAGACTCCACAGTGGAAGAAGGTAACTGACTCTCAAAGTCTGTCCTCTTTTCTTCATATGTGCATCAGACACAAAGCAATAAGAAAAAGGTTTTAAATGAATGGCCTGTGCTAACGTCCTGCCTGGAATGAGAGACACGCAAAGAATGGCAGCCAGAACAGGAGCCAAGTACACTGGGTAGGGCTGGAGTCTGGATGGGGCACAAGACTTCTAGGCTCATATCCTCCAAATAAGAATGATAATAAAAAAGACAGCTTTGAAGTATAATTTAAAGCTTAATGAATGAAAAACAGCCAGCAATGACCTCAAGAGCCTGCCTCCCTGAAATCTAGTTGGCTGGACAGCTCTCTGCACCGGAGTAGCACCAAGAGTGGGACCAAGAGTCTGAGCCCACAAAAGTATGTCAACTTCAAACCCCACCTGCTTCAGCTGGAAGATCATCCTTGAGTGATCTCCACCTGTGATTTGGTCCAGGAGGTCGTCTACCATTTTCTTGCTGTAGCTCCCAGCATCCTTCACGAACTCCTGCAGGCTAGAAGAGAACCCTGTAAGGGAATGTGCTGAAAAAGCATCGCGTTCCAATTTCAAGATCCACCCCAACAGTGACAAAGATTTTGATTCCAGATGTCCACTGCCAACACTCCTCAGTCCTCTGGGAGCTTCCCAGGTATGTGTGTGGGGGTGGGGGAAACAACTGGACTGACCGTTCTCAAACAATTTTCAAAGTGGCTCAAGGCAAAAAAAAAAAAAAAATTATTAAAAGAGCTCCAGGAAAATTAAAAAAAAAAAAGGCAGAACACATGCAGGTACACAATCCATAAAAAACCCTAAGACATACTAGTTATCTAAAGAAGGCTGTCTATATCCACCAGTCTTGGCATTTGAAAGTACAGGAAGCACGGACTGTAAAAGTGGTAGTGGGCAGATATGGAGGGGTGGGGTAAGACTCAGGGCACACCTTCTGGTACACTTTGATTTCTGGATCATATGACTATACTGGCTTAAAAATAAAATTTAAGATGCTCACCAGGGAACAGTCCTCACGTATCCGTGTGACCTGGCTTACCTCAGTGCACACTGCACACCAGTCTCGTCTCCATATGCCGAGTACAGAAGTTCCATCTCATCTGATTTCAGGTCCCCAAACACAGAGTTGTTCTGCATTGAAAGCGCAGTGCTTGCACTAGAGAGGAATGTAACTAAAGAGAAGGGGCAGAGGGAAAGTCGAAGTCATGCTCAATGCACTGCCAGCATGCTACAGCCATTTTTCCTTCCAGGTGATCTCAACCTGAGCCCATGCCTGGTTTCTTCCTTTTTCTTCCTGCTTGAGCACAAATGCGGTAGCAGGAACTGCCCATGGATACTGCAGAGTCTACTTAGCATGCCATTTCACATCTTGGACCAAGGGCCACAAAGCAAAGACCGACCCTTAGGTAGAGATGAGCGTGGACAAGCAGAAGTGGTTCTTGGAACCAGTCAGTTCATGAACCCCCTCTGGCAGAAGCAGGAGCTGAACCAACACAGGATACACTCTTTCCCAGGCTATGTCTATGTGGCTGTGCTTTTCAGTCTGGTAGAAGTCACGCCGTGTCCTGCACTCTGCTATAGCATTTCCTTCTCTCTCCTGTTGGACAATAGCTGCACCCCCTCTTCCCTGTAACACAAATGCCTCCTGGGGACAAAACTGCTGAGCTAAGAAGCAAAGACAAGCAATATCTCAAAAGCAAAGTGTGAGCAATGACAAGTGATGGGTTGAAATGGAGGCAGGTGTGGGTAGACCACACATCACAGAAGGTCCAAATGCAGGCTGGTCTCTAATATCCAGAGATGTAGAAAATGCCATTCCAGAAAAAGTCCTCTACTGAGGCTGTACCGAGCTTCCCTGCGCCAAGAGTGAACACCAAGAAAAGCAGATGGTGTGCAGGATTGAGGGGATAAGGAAGTATGGTAAAAGCTTATGGTGCAGAGGTGACCTTGGCCACAGCAAAGCAACAAGGGGAACAAAAGCAATGACATAGAGAAGGGCAATCCCACCCATGCCTACACCATCACTCAAGAAACCATGTCTGGAATAAATATAGAGACAGGAAATACAATGAAATGCCAAGTCTAAGGGGAACATGCTGAAGTGCGTCCCATGGTTTTAAACACCTCCATACTTGAATAAAGGCAGAAGAGACGTCATCAAAACACATCTAGGCTCAGACCAGGAATGGCTCCTGTGCCTTCAAGAGAAAGGAAGTGATCCCACAGAGAACCATCAGCCTGGATGCACTTGTGCACATACAGATACCCACACACCAAAGCAAGTCTGGCACACATACTACCACATATATACAACCACAAACATTCCCAAACACACTAGTAGATTTATTATAAATACAGAACACACAAGCACAAATATACCTGGCCCTCCCTCATCCATGTTGCCACCCACAACCACCTTGTCCATCTAGGTCTCTTGGCTGCCAGGCAGCTCCATCATCCTCCAAATGTAAGCCTGATGTAAGAACGAGTCCCCCCATAAGGACCAGCAGGAGCCTGAGTAGAGGCTCCTGTGGAGGGAGAGAATGGATGGCAGCCTGTGTGAGGAAGCTTAGGAGCTCAGTCTGAACTCACCCCTACTAGTTGAGAGCAGAATGCAAAGCAGGAATTCTCCATCAACTATGACTTTAGTCATCTACTTTAATGGGTCTAAACTTCATTTGTCTTAAAAATCTAAACCCAGTCACATGAAGAAAATCATGGAAGAGGAACTGGCAACTTCAGCATCCCGTTGACAGCCAAGCCAGCCTTCAGCTCCTGAGAGCTCTCACCCGCCAGCCACTGCACTTACCTTTACTTCTTCTTTCATCTTTGAAACCCAGTGTCGTAAAACCTGGGAGCAACTTGCTAGACAGTGAACTCAGGTCCACAGGGTGTGTCTCCTCCTCTGCAGAAGACACAGGAAAGGAGGAACAATCAAGTCAGCTTGCCTCAGCAGCGATGAGCATGTTCTCTATAGCACCTTGGACAGGGAGCGGTAGGGACAAGAAGACTTTACAATGTCCATTTAAAAATGATTTTTTAATATAATTTTTCAATATAATTTTAAAAACTAACACCATTTCAATTTGATTTTATAATTGCCCTAAAGTCAACACCATGAAAAAATATTATGTCTGGACCTAAACAGATGGTTCCATTGGCAAAGTGTCTGCCCTGTAAGCATGAAGTTCTGAGTTCAGTTCCCCATCTGTACTTAAAAAAAGTACACAACGTTGCACGCTTATAACCCCAGTACTGGGGAAGGAGGAATGGGTGCATGCTTGTCCTTGTCATGTCTGTAGACCACCCTGCCAGCCATGCTTTCACCCACTCCTACATGCTATCCAGCACTTACTGGCCATCCTCTCCATGCTCTTCTGGTTACACATCTGCTCTCTGGTTTTCACATGCAAATCAATTCTCCATTCCTGACAGGAACCTCACTTTCTAGAACTGACTTTCTATTCTAAGTATGGCCTACCATATCTACTTTCTCCTGAAGACCACAGAAATTTGTTTCCACTCACAGTTAAAATCAGAGTGCCTATCCTGCACACTAGAGAAAATGAAACAACCTGTTGATTGTGGGCTGGGAGGAAGACTGTCAAGAGGCCAAAGAGCTGAGGGAAATGTCCACCTGTGCAACAGAGACTCAGGCAAAGCAGTAAGTATGAGCCAACTCCAAGAGTGTCTGTGGGCATCCTGCAACCCCAGGGACTCAGTCAGAGGCACAGCTACTACCTTCTCAAGATGTTCCAATGAGTGAAATACCCCTCCAGGCTGTTGTGCCCGGTGGCATTCATGTTTCCACTAAGACCTACCCTGACCCAATCATCCAGCCTTCCTTCCAGAATACTTTTGAGCTTCAAGTGCATAGGTCTGCACTTGGCTCACGAGGAAGCAGTTCTGACAGAACTCAAGAAACAAAACCTTCCTACATCATCAATGAAATTCAGTCCTTAAGAATCTATCACCACCCTGAGTAACCTAATGGAGGTCGAATGACGTACTGGCCCCTTTCATGACACACATAGGCTCCACTGTGCACACACATGCTACCAAAAATACATACAAGAGGGAAGGCAGACAACTCTCCTGCAATCTCATTAACAGTCGTGGTGACATATGAATGTGTTATACATGTGCTGTATCTCAAAGCAAGTACAGAGTTTAGAGGACAAAGCACCCACCATCAGCGTCAGGCTCAGTTGCATTCACCACGCTGTAGAGCAGACTTCCATCTCCAAGCTTCTTCAGGTACCCCATCTGCAAGGAAGCAGCACCCAAGTGTCATCCGCCAGGGAAAACCTTGAGCTATCTACTAGAGACACATGACGTGCTAGACACTTCTCTACCAGTTTCTCCAAGAGAAAGAACCAGAGACTCCCTCTCACATGTCCAGGGATTGAAGACTGGCGTGCTCATGATTGATGGTATCTGCTCATGATTAAATAAACCTGATTATGACTGAGGACACCTATATATGGTCAAAGCACTGCTTAGACACATGACCCATCCCAAAGAGTTTCTGAAATAAAAGTCTTGTCCCAGAAGCAAATATTAAAAACCATCCATTAAGCCTGAACAAAATAAGAGAGAGAATGCCAGCTAAGTAAAAAGCATCATGCCATGAGGTCCATGGTCCATACCTCTATCTCTAAGGTAGACAGAGAACATTACTCCATTAAAAATCTTCCACAAAAGGCCTTGACTATGTCCTACCGTCACCCGCAGTCTCATACAGGGACAGGATGTCAGGGTGTGGGAAGTATACATGTGCAGATGAAATGTGCAGGGGACTGGCCAGATGCACGAAGAGTAAGCTCTTGTGATCGTAAATATCCCCGGGAGAATGTCAGAGAGCAACATAAGTAGGGCAGAAGCAGGAGAGGAGGCAGATACTGGATAGGGGACACCAACAATATACCAGGGTACTAGGGCCAGGCTTCTCAGTGCAGTACTACAAACTAAAAAGGAAGAGTGGCCATGGTATTGGAGGGAACAGGAAGCTTCACCAGACAACAAAGATTTCAGTACATGCAAACACAGTTACCAACATAGTTACTCTTAGCTACATATACACATGGTGTGTATCCACACAGGTACATTTCTTGGCTCTGTCTAACAGTGTTTTACCTACAACATGGATATCTGTCCTGGTTAGTTTTAGGTCAACTTGACACAAGCTAGAGTTATCTGAAAGGAGGAACCTCAATTAAGAAAATACCTCCATAAGATCCAGCTGTAAGCAGGAAGTAGTGGCACACACTTTTAATCCCAGTACTCAGGAGGCAGAGACAGGCAGATCTCTGTGAGTTTGAGGTTAGCCAGGTCTACAGAGCTAGTTCCATGACAGTTAAGGCTACACAAAGAAACCCAATCTTCAACACCCCACTCTCCCAGACCTCCCTTCTAAAAGATACAGCTATAAGGCATTTTCTTAACTAGTAATCAATGTGGGAAGGCCCAGCCCATTGTGGGTGGTACCATCCCTGGGCTGGAAGTTCTGGGTTCTATAAGAAAAAAGGCTTTTGACTTCCTTCAATAATGAACACTAATGTGGAAGTATAAGCCAAATAAAGCCTTTCTTCCCCAACCTGCTTTATGTCGTGGTGTTTCAATGCAGCAACAGAAACTCTAAGACAATATCCATTTCTAACTAAGGTTTCCCACTGGAGGAATGATGAATTCCAGGGGTGAGACACAGCAGGAGTATAGGGCGAGGCTACCCACAGAACTTCTCGCAAGCCACACAGCTAATGCTGAGTCTTTAACAGGCATATTTACAAGAGCAAACAAACAGCCAAAACTAGCTTTAAGGTGTTTATAGGGTTTTGTTTCATTTTTCTTTTTTGCAATGCTAGGGAAGGAACATAAAGCCTTATGTGGGGTAGGCAAGAGTTCTACCACTAAGCCATATCTCTAACTAGCTTAAGGTATTTCCTATAATTGGAGGGTCCAAAATTCAACATTCAGTATTTAAAATGTAATACACTTGATATGAAGAAACTTAATATGAGCAGGGCAGTGGAGGCACTCGCCTTTAATCCCAGCATTTGGGAGGCAGAGGCAGGTGGATCTCTGTGAGTTCGAAGCCAGCCTGGTCTACAAGAGCTAATTACCGGACAGGCTCCAAAGCCACAGAGAAACCCTGTTATGAAAAAGATGTACCGTTCTGACTTCTGATTACTGTTAATACAGACCTTACATTGAGATAGTAAGATTCAGATTATGTCAGGTCTGGTGGAACAAAACAGGCGCATCTTACCATGTAGTCTTACTCTTGTTTCAGGGCTGTGTTACTGTCTACAGGTGCTCTGCACCAGAGCATCTTGTACTGGGAAGGAAGAGTGGTAGCACCTTGCTCTACAGAGAGGCAGGTAACAGTTGGATGGATCCCTCTACCTCAGCTAGGACTGCAGATAGCTTCATTAAGACATGGCAGCAAGCCGGGCGTTGGTGGCGCACGCCTTTAATCCCAGCACTCGGGAGGCAGAGGCAGGCGGATCTCTGTGAGTTCGAGACCAGCCTGGTCTACAGAGCTAGTTCCAGGACAGGCTCCAAAGCCGCAGAGAAACCCTGTCTCGAAAAACCAAAAAAAAAAAAAAAAAAAAAAAAAAAAGACATGGCAGCAATAATCTACGAACGGCCCACAAAAAGACAGAACCACAGATGGCACCACACCTACGAATACTTACTATGAAGGGGGCTTTACCTGTACGGAAGCTTGGCCAACAAGGCCTCCCCTAAGCAATAGGGTCAGTCACAGTGGCCCCAACCCAACCTGGATGTAGTGGGAAATGTCATATTCCATGTTCAGGGTGGCCCTGACAGCGTAGTGATCTTAGACCCCTCTGAGGACACAACACAAAGACAATCAAAGAGCTGATCTGGCTCTGGCCTGAACCCCTGGCGTCCAGGAGGTACTCTGGCCAGTTTTGATGATGGTACCTGGTTGCAAAGACTTGAGTGTTTGAGGCCAAGTGGCACGGCCCTCAGGGGAGGGCCAGATATACTACCTTGCCACCTGGGAGAAACCGGTTAATTCTGTCCCGAGCCTCGTCAGCTGCGTGCTCTACTAGGGCTAGCACGTGCTCCTCTGCAGTGCTGTCTGTCAGGCTGCAGGCATTCCCTTCAGGCTCAAACATGCAGCTGTAAGGCATAAAAACCAAATGTCATCATAGGCACTGCCTGTTTCTTCCTAGCAGCAGCTTCTGTGAACGATTCCCTTGCAGAAGTACTGGGCCGAGCTTAATCCCTCTACTTCTCATAGCATTTCCTATGAGTTCTAATCATGTTCTTATACCTGAAATAAAAAAAAAAAAAAGCAGACCAAATAGAATCCCTTAGGCTTCCCACGTCTCAGAGACACTTGTCTTCTTACAAACAGAAAAAAAAAGTGACAGGAATTACATAGGTATTAAAGGAAATGTGACAAAGTCCCCACTGTGTGGAGTGTCACAAGAAGCCCTGGGCTCCCCAAGAAGGAACAGTTGTGGAGCCAGTCTGTCCCCTGAAGACAACAGAAACAGGCGGACAGGCTCCTCTCTGCCCTGGCACAAATGGCTAAGGAGATGTTGCAAAAAGAGGATGTCCCCATAACCGACACAGCTGCTCTCTGGAAATCCAGCCCAGGGGTAATGGTGCTCCTTATCAGAGTCCAATAGCACTGGCATTGACAGTCAAGCATGATCTGGAGCCTTTGGTGGACTTCGGTATAGAAACTCAGACTCTGAAATCTAATAATTCAGAAAAAAACTCCACAAGTATTCATTATATCCAAAAGTCATAGAACCCACAGATGATGGTAGAATCTTAGTGATAAGATCATCTACACCACGGCCACTAACTAGAAACTCTGCAAATCTGAGGCAACCTGAGAGGCTAGGAACACATGAGGGCAGCAGGTGTCCCTAGAGAGGACAAAGGGCAGTGCACCAGAAGGAGCTGTCTGCTGAGAGGGAACCTCCTCTCAAGATCCCTTAGTTAGCTCTGGCCTGATGGACAGGAGAAAAGCTTCAGGGAGCTCTGTCTGAAGTACCCTGACCTTCCTGATGCTCATCACCAAGCTGGCCATCTCCCTATAGCGCCACAGAAGTCAGCATACAGACTTGTTTCATGGAGAGTGCTGGTGGCCAGAGTGGGCTGACCGCAACTGTGCTCTGCACAGGTAAGAACATAGGTCATTAGCAGATGCTATGTATGAAGGGCATATACTAAAGGGATGAATATTAGCAAACAGAATGCATATCATATAGTAATGACAAACTGGAAAAGTGCACTGTAGAGACAGCTACATGGGCTGTGGATCCCAGCGCGTGTGGCTAGCACACAGGAGAGTGGTCTCAGCCCCTTGCATCTCGCATTCATCAGTAGCTGTGACAGTGGCATGAGAGTATGTGGTGAGTGACTACCTTACCCACAGAACCGCCCTGCAAAGTCCAGAGTATCAGCTATGAGACACAATCACCTCATTTTGGGGCAGGTAGAACAGGGTGGCCATTTCCCTCTTGAGTTCCAGACCAGGAAGGCATCCAGTTTAAGGCCCCTGGGCTGCACCAGGGGGTGCCTTGTGGAACCCAAGAATCCTTAGAGACCATGTTCCTCCATCCAGGATGAGACGCTCCACAGGTCCCCACCGCCCTTGTCGGGCAAAGCACTGCTGCCTGCTTGTAGGCAGCAGCCCCACAAGCCTTACCTGATAACTTCTCTACTCGGCTTTTTGGATTTCTTGGTGGTTTCTACTTGCACTGGGACAACCTCAGGAACAGGTTCCTCAACTGCTGGGTCTTCACTGCCCAAGAGAGCTGCCTGCTGAGAGAAATCCATGTCCTGCATAAACGACATGCTGCGCTTCAAAGCTAACAGCCGCTCCTAGAATCAGAAAGGACAGAGCAGCAGGACTTTACCTCTCCCTTAGCCACGGAGCCGTGACGATGGGATGGCATGGGATGGCCACGGCCTCACCTGGCCTAATCGCCACCTTCCCAGACGCTGCAGCGGGAATGGTTGCGAGGGCTCAGCATTCAAGGTATGGCCCAGAGATGGTGGTGAGAGAATGGTGGAGCCCAGCAAGTGCCGCCTGCCTATGTGAGGCTCGTACAGCCTGGCTTACACTTGGAATGACCGTCGAGGGTCAGTGAGGCTGGGCCACAAAGTAAAACCACAGGCTGGCTGTGGTCCAGCAAGACTGACCTAGATCCAGAACTTTTCATCAGCCCCATATACTGGCACCTCTAAGCTGTGTGAAGGTGCACAAGGGGTCAGCACCTGGGTGTGGCGGATGGATGAAGCGTGTCATTCATTGTGAGCCTGTTAGGCACAGAAAGTTAGGAGACTTCGGCTCAGTGCCATTGCTCTAGTGGGTTTCTTACTTTGCTCATCATCTTAAAGCCCGCATGCAGGATCTTCTTGGCTAACTTGTAGTACACGGTGTCTGGTCTATTGTAGGTCATCGCATTATCACACATTAATTTGAAATCTGCCTAAGAAGAAAAAGACAAGGAATTTGCCATATAAGTAACAGCAAAGTTCTCCATTCTTGTCAAATGATGCCAAGTGGAAAAGAATGGAAGTCAACAAAAGACAAGCTTGGGAAGACAGATTTTTAATAACTCAAGAGAGATTTTCATAATGATCCATGAGTTTTTATTTGCATGAGGAATTTCCCAGTGAAAATTTGGTCAAAGTCTCCAATATTCTTTTGTATATTAATATGTAAATTTTGAGAAAGACTGTACAAATATTCTAAGCACCCTTCTTTCCTCCAGGCCTTCTTCCTATCTAGTAGAAACACCACACAAATAGGAATAAAAAGCAACATGTCTGGTTCTTTAAGCAGAAGTGAGAAAGAGAGCGAGGGGTTCTGCATCACAACTACATGTAACTATAGTTCCAGGAGACTACACGCCCTCTTCTGACCACCAAAGGCTCCAGGCATACATTTGGTGCACAGACACACTCATAAACATAAAGTAAAACATCTAGAACAAGTTATAAATAACTTGAGGTACATATACAGTGTTTATTACGTGAGTGGACATGAGCACACACACACACGGAAGAACACACACATTTTGCAAACTTATTTCAGAAAGTAAAACTTATTTACCTTAAATTCTGTGACTGATTTATATTCATTGGCTACGATCTTGTCTTTCATTGTGCCAAAGTCCATGGGATGTTTTATTATCATTGAATACCCAGGAGCAATTGCATCCGTGACAGGAAAAGCAAAAAATCCATGAGGATCTTTTCTGAAAGCAAAGATATCTTCGAAATGAAAAAAACTCTAAAGTCTAAATTTCTAAGTGCTATAAAAATTTTTACAATCCAAAAATTTATATAGCTGACTAAATTTCAAATTTGCTTCTTAAAAGTTCAGTGGGAAAACACAGACACCTTTTAAGGTTCCGACACGTATTTTACACACAACAGACACTGTCCCAGTTACATCCCTGACAGGCACCAACTTCAGACGCGACAGGCTGGAATGCAGCACGTAAGCTCCTGGCTCTGAAGGTGCGGCCTGCACCCAGTGTGCCCACACCTGCTAGACTAGGAGTGCCTGAAGAAAGTGAAGTCACACATCTTGTGGTGGTAGTGGGTGGGGTTCAGGGTTCAAAGTGTTTCAAGATGGGGAGAAAGTGGGGGAAGTTTCTATAGAGGTAGGAGGCGAGAGGTGGGATTTGGAGCGTCTAGAGAAGGAGGGTGTCTGTCTCGTGGGTAACAGATGACAGGTGGATATGGGGTTACCTCTGCAGCTGACGGAGGAAGTGCTCCAGAAGCCTCTGGATAGGTGTGCTCTCATTCTCAGCTGAGTTTATAAAGAGAAAGCAAGGAAATAAAATCAAACAGCAAGACCTCATTCCCTTCACTACAAATCTCCATATCATCTGCCTGTGGCCTTCACAGCATCTGAAGCCCAAGCAAGAACTGAGAACTTGGGCACAGCTCCCTCAACACAGGCAGGTTGGCAAAGGGATACACAGCACGTCTCAAGACCCACATGGCTATTTCCAGTTCCCATCACAATCCAAGCTGGTCTTATAGACGAGATATAAAAGAGGCAAGTGTGTGGGAAGAGCTCATTCTGGACTCCCTGGTCAGTACTACACTTGAGACTTCTCGTCATTTCTCTGTACCTAGTTTTCACTGCACAGCAGGGGGACATAAAATATACAGACCTCATGAGGGCTGTGGGTATCAGCTAAGTCTCTGAGCTCACAGTCAGTCTGACAGCAATGTTCCTGACTGTCCAGGGTATGTCCAAAGCAGCAGTAATCTCTTCAGTCCCTCCACAGGTCACAGTGACTGCACTGTGCCACTTTGAAGACAGGCCCTGATTGTTGTTTCCTGGAAATTTACTAGGAGTGAACTGCTCTGCTCAGGGATGGGAGTTACTAGCAAATAGCATTCTTTCCCACAAGGACCATAATAGATATCTCAAGGGGCCCCGATAAATCAGGGGTCGTCAAGTCCATAGTCAAAGGACGAAATTCTGAAGAGAAAAATCACCACAAAGACTGTGGGGTATGAACATTTTTTCTGTAGCCATCACAATCTGATTTAATATTAGCTTTCCTGATAACCCATGCTCTGACACCCAATCGCCTCAGTTTCTCTCCATGTAGGAAGAGACATTTTTACCTGAAAACAGAGTTCTTGGAGTCCTATACAGGAAGTCTGGGAAATCCAAAACCTAAGACTGAGATGCCATAGAATGTCATCCCTGGCACAGGATACCCGGGTCAGAAGTTTCTCAAAGACCTGCTGGCTTCCTACATGTCATCTTGAGGTCACCTTAAGTAACTCCAGACCTACCATGAGAGCCTGTGTTGGGAGAATCTCATGTTTCTACACGTGTTTCTTATGTGACTCATGAAGGGCCACTAAACTGATGGTGCTGTTTGGAACAGTAAAGCAAATAAAGCCGAACTACTAAACTAAAAATTGATGAACTTTAACCAGATAAAAAATATTGTAAGCTGGGTAATGGTGGCACACGCCTTAAATCCCAGCACTCAGGAGGCAGAGGCAGGCAGATCTCTGAGTTTGAGGCCAGCCTGGTCTACAGAGCAAGTTTCAGGACAGTCAGGGCTACATAAAGAAACTCTGTCTCAAAAAGACAAAAACAATACTGTAGGTTTGTGGGACACATCCGGTTGGTCTCTATGACATCTGTGCTTCTGTTATTAAATACCCCAACAAGTGGATAGCCATGCTATGGACAGGATATAAAACATGTCCAGGGGCAAGGTCTTGCCTGGCTGTGTTCGGCAGGCTCTCACTGGTCGATCTGGGGGTGGCTCCACCTCCACCTTCTTTCCAGGGTCGAAGGCATCAGCCTCCCCCTCTGAGTCGCAGTGCTCCTTCTCCCGCTTCCGCTTTTTCTCTTCCTGTGAGTAGCAAAGAACAGAGGCCAGAGAACAGCACGAGCTCTTTTAGATTGGTACTCTAGGCCCTGTGCACCTCTGCCTTTTGCGGACTGGGGAGAAGACCCACTTCTACAGAGAATCCACTCGGACTGCAGCACTGGCCTGGCATCACTAGCATCCCCATCACAGGCCATTGCACCTTTACCTTCCGTTTCCTTCTCTCCTCCTCATCGAGGTGCTTTTCCTTCTCTGACTTCTTCTTCTTTTTCTTCTTCTTTTCTTTGTGTCTCTCCCGCTCATGGTCTGACCTATCATCATAGTAGCTGGAGTCGTGGCCAGATCCTGAAAGTTCCGTCACTTCGCTTCCTCCCACCTTGAGCACTAGCTTCAGAGGCTTCTCCAGTGGTGTGTCCGTGTAATCTGCACACAGATCGTGAGTCAAACTTGCAAAATTCTAGGTGGGACTACCGCGCCCCTGTGGGTGTCACAAGGGTAGGTGTCTGGTCTTGATAAATCTAGGCGGCAGGGGGTTGTCAAAACCATGGGAAAAGATGGACTCTCAAACTGACAGGGCTGTGTTCGGTCCTTTCAAACCACATAATCACCACTGAGAGTATTCAGGACATCCTTCCTACCAGGAGAAAGTGCATCACCACGACTTAGGACCCAAGACCCCAGTTCCTTTGTGGAAGCCCCTCTTTTTGCTGTGGGTCTTCCTGGTACCAGAGGGAAGGTCCAGAGAGGCCACAGGACCCGAGAAGCCGATGGCCTCACCCTGTGACCTAGGAAACGCAGCTGATGCCCTCCACCGGGCCAACCCCCGCCCCCTGCCACTAATGTCCGGGACCCGGCTTGAAGCCCCTCCCGCTCACAGGACCCCGCCCGCCTCAGGCCCCTCCTCTACAGCCCCGCCCAGCGCAGACCACGCCCTTCCCTTGGAACCCCGTCCCCGCCGGTCCCCGCAGCCCAGACCCGGCCCGCGGGCTCCGCACCTTCGTACGACGAGCGCCACTCCGCCTTGTGCTTCTTGTGCTTCTTGCCCATGGCTGCGGTCGCAGCGGATCCGCCGAGAAGCGGCTGCCCGTAGCCCGACCTGCGCCAGTCGGAAGTGGCCCCTTCGCCCCCGCTGAACACTTCCGGGTCACAGGGCTGTGCTCAGCGCGCGGCAGATTCGAAGCGCGGCGGGGCGGGGCGGCGCGGGCGACGGAAGTCGCTCAGACCCGGGCTCTACCAAGGTGCACAGTCCCACGGCTGAGGAGGCTGCTCCGCGGGGCGTCACTCGGGCCGCGTTTCCTCGGCTCTCGGCGGCGGCGCCATGGACGAGGCGGTGGGCGACCTGAAGCAAGCGCTTCCCTGTGTCGTCGAGACGCCCGCGGTTCACGTGGAGATCTTGCAGCGCCGCAGCAGGTGAGCTATGTGGGGACCGACCACTCGGGGCGCGTCCTAGCCGGGCCCCACCACGCGTGCCTCCGGAGGGCACTACCTTACCCCACCTCTCAGGATCCCATCCCGCGGCGTCGCACGCCCTCAACACGGCCCCACTTCACATAACACGAGCAACCTGGCTTTAACCACCCCACACCGCATAGCACCCCCAAATGGCATGACCCCGCTTTGCCCTGCACGAGGTTCCATCCCACCACACACTGTTCTGAGTTTCACTCACCGCTATCCCCTCAAGACCCCACCATCCCTCATCTGGCAGGGCCTCACAGCTCTCACGTGGTGCACAGTCTAACCATGATGATGGGGGCGGTGGTGATCTCCGGACGTCAGGGGTGCAGGAAAGTGGAGTGTAAGTAGAGCAAAGAGGAGAATAAGTGTTTAGTTGACTAAACCTGTATCTGGTGGTAGATTTCCTGTTACAAACTCGTGCAGGGCGGTGGTGGTGCACGTCTTTAATGCCAGCGCTCGGAGGCAGAGGCAGGCGGATCTCTGTGAGTTCCAGGCCAGCCTGCTCTACAAGAGCTCGTTCTAGGACAGGCTCCAGAGTTACAGAGAAATCTTTTCTTGGAAAAAAAAAATGTACATACTCGAAGTTAGACCCTACAGCTGCGGTCTTTCATCCCTTCCTTAACAGTGGCTGCTAACATGGGTTGAGTGCCCCTTGTATTTCAGGCTTGTCCCAAACACTGAATATTGATTAATCTTCATACTAGCATGTCAAGAACTAGTGCCACCTCTTTTTCTAATGGTGCTGAGAGTGGTCGGTGGTGTGACTGCAGGCCCAGGTCCCTATAGTTGATCCCTAGACAAGTCTACTCCCAAGCCTGATCTTGGATAGTGACTTGTGTGAGGTTTGCAGATTTTTGTGTATGTGTGGTTGTTTTGGGGGTTTTGTTTATTTGTTTTTGGTTTTGTTTTTTGAAATTTAAAACAAATTCTCCTGTCTCAGCCTCCTGCATCCTGTGATTTCAGGCATGCCCCCACCGCTCCTGGCCATACTTTAGTGTTTTTATTTTTAACTAAGATATTTTATGTATGTCTGTATTTATTTTTCTAGTACTGCAAAAAAAGAAGACATAAAGCTGAGTGTTCAAAAACTGCTCAACAGGCATAATATTGTGTTTGGAGATTACACGTGGACTGAGTTTGATGAACCTTTTCTGACCAGAAATGTCCAGTCTGTTTCTATTGTTGACACAGAATTAAAGGCCAAAGACTCTCAGGTAAATTCTCCTGGTTACTAAACTCTTAGGGAAAATGAGGTAATTCTCACGAATAGCTAATATTGACGTTGAAAGCAGCTCTTAATCTGTTGGCTTTGATGGCTAGATAAGCCTTAGCTGTGTGTCCTGGAACTAGGTGCTAGAAAGGATACCATGTGCCAGGATGCTCTGCTCAGGGCCAGGAACAGACAGAATGGGAATCTGAGAGCTACAGAGTATCGGACTGTGCCTGAATACCTGGATCCTCTCTGTGTCCATGAGCAGGTGTCGTGGTGTGCTCAGGAGTGTGTTAGCACGGTAGATTGTGTGTAAGTTACAGAAGTGAGATGGGCCTGCCATATGGAAGCTCTCCATCTCAATGAGCATTATATGACTCTTGCCTATAAAGAACTGATTTTGAGGGCTGGGATATAGCTAGTGGTAAAGCTCTTGTCTAGTTGGCGCAAGGTCCTGAGTTCAGCCTTTAGTATTATAGAAAGAAAATAAATATGTAAATAGAGAGAAAATAGGAAATTGATTTTGAAAAATGAGGCCTAGGTCTAAAAGCCTTTAATCTCAGCACTCAATGAGGTCAGCCTGATCTATAAGACTTTCCAGGCAGATAGCCCTACATCGTGAAACCCTGTTTCAGGGGGTGTGATGGGGGGGGGAGTGGGGGTCAAGAGCTCAAAGGGGAGAAATGGATAAACACCTTAAGAGCCAGTCCTAGATCAGAAATGAAATGCTAGACTTCCTCTAATCTGAGAACTGGGTTTTAACAGTGGTAGCCTTGGTCTTTACTTTGGACTTCAGCATAGAGAATGGCAGTAGAGAAGGAGGTGTTGTGAGTTGCGTTGTTTCTTTGTACCTCATCAACAGCCCATTGATTTGAGCGCATGCACCATCGCACTTCACGTCTTCCAGTTGAATGAAGACGGCCCCACCAGTGAAAATTTGGATGAAGAGACAGAAAATATAATTGCAGCAAGTAACTGGGTTCTGCCTGCAGGTACAGGGTCCTGACGGGTGGGCAGTGACGGAGGGGGGCAGCCAAGGAAGGCCCGAGTCAGAAGCTTAGGACCCACCTGGGTCTCTTAGCCAAGTTACTTAGTGAGAAGATTTGGTTTTTTGGTTTTGTAAGATTTTAGGATGCTTTATGCCTTATGAGATGTATGAAAAGGTAAAACTATGTTAGCTCTCCATCACTGTAATAAATGTTTGAGACAATTTGCATAAGGAGAAGAGTTTGTTTGGGCTCATAGTTTGAGTTCATGGAGGAGTGGCTTCGTTGCTTTGTGTCTTTTGCAAGGCAGAGCATGGTTTGGGGGAGGAGAGGGTGGCAGAAGAATCCTATTCTGTTCATGGCCAGATGCAGGAGAGAGAGCAAGAGACCTGTGTCCCACTATCCTCCTTCTGCGCCCTCCCTATCTTTTAAAGCTCCACTACCTCACAGAAACATCATGCTGATGATCAAGCCTTAGCATGTGGGCCTTTAGGGAATACTACAGATTTGGCTGGTGGTGATTGCAAAGGAAGGAACACATTTCTGAGCCTAGACTGTTTGTTGTTCCTTTAGACAAGTTCCTCAGATTGTGTCTGACTAAGGATGTCCCTGCCCAGCTGGTCAGTCCTGACTTCCTATGACAGTCCTTGCTTCTCTGGGGACTGTGCTACTGGATCCAACAAGTGGTGTCTAGGGATTAATTCAGTCCAAAGTTTTAGGTTTCTGCCATGTAGGGGGAGCTCGTGGTCTTTGTTGTTGTTGTTGTTGTTTGTTTGTTTGTCTAAAACACTCTTTAAATAATACATAGTTTAAAAGACAAGTCTAAGAGGAAATATAAATTGCAGCATTCAATTCATGGTGGCTCACGCCCTTAATCCCAGCACTTGTTGTATCCATCTTGATCTTCATTGGAAAAGCATTGGACTCAAGGTCTTCCTAAAATTGGGATTTTGTCTTACTCTCCCTTACAGCTGAATTTCATGGGCTTTGGGACAGCCTCGTGTATGATGTGGAGGTCAAATCACATGTAAGTTGCTGTACTTTTTCTCAAAATGTACTTACTGCTTTGCTCTCCTGCCTCTGTAGCACAAATTTTAATTGGCCTTAATAATAAAAACTTGGACTCGGCTGTTGGGGGAGGGGAGTAAAAGCTGAAGGTTCAGAAAAGTAGAGCGGCCAGCCACTAGAGACTTCTACCACTGCTCAGACCAAAGGGGCCGTCCTGTCCTCAGGCTGCACTGAGCTCCTGTCTCCTCCCGCCTTTTCACTCCTGGCTCCACCTCCCTAGTGCTGGGATCACCTTTGTGTGAGCTCTGTTTCTCTTTTAAACTGGATCAATTTCACGTAGCCTAGGGTGGCCTTGAACTAACAGAGGTCCCGTCTTTTCCCCAAATCCTGGGATTGAAGGTGTGAACCACCACTGCCTGTCCTCTAGTAGCTTAGCTCTGTACTCTGTTCTTCAGGCAAGCTTTATCTGTTAAAACACAAACGAAATATCACTACAAGCCTCCCTGTGTCCCTCGACTCAGGTGGCCCACATCCTGAATGACAATCTGTCAGAGGTTCCCTAGCATAGAGCTGATCCTTTAGGTAGGAGATGGTCAGAGATTGAGAGAAAATGAGATTTATTTTGAATTACATTTTTCTTGTGGGTCCTTTTGGTTACAAACTGGAAAACTGTCACTGGTGAAGGCACCTTCTCGGGCTTCTGACACATGTGCTGTATACATACCCAATTACCTGCTGTGCTGTCTTCAAGGAGGGAGTTTTTTATCTGATAAGTACCTTGGGCATCTTATTGGATGTTGTCATTCTGAGTAAAAGTGTTGACTTTGTCTCTCCTCTTAGAATGATACCAACTAGTGTTTTACCTTCTTACCTTTTAAAGATGCCTTCTAGAAGTCAGCAAATGATGGGAGATGGTCTCTGAGTGTTAGGAGGTAACAGTCCTTTCAGGGGTAGCCATGCTAGCCTTGCCCCTTTGGTGTTTAGAAGCAGGCCTTTGAAGCATGCTTTTGGGAACCTTTGCCTTGCAGGTGTCTTATCTGTCTTTCTGCTTTTCCGTGTTAGCTCCTTGATTATGTGATGACCACCTTACTGTTCTCAGACAAGAACGTGGACAGCAACCTTATCACCTGGAACCGGGTGGTGCTGCTGCACGGTGAGGTGGACACTTCTTCATGTGACAAAATGGATGGCCTGAAGTTGACTTGTACAATGTTTTAACTCTTTATTTTCTGAAAGAGTCAGAATTGTTCTTGGGTAATCCATATCTTTGACCCTGAAACAATTCCCTAAAGTCTCGCAAATTTGTTAGCTGACTTTTTCTTAGGGTCAAATTGACTGCTTCCTTCTAACCATTTTTATATAAAATGATTGCCTGTTTTTCCCAACTGAACATAATTGCTTAGGATAGAACAAGTCTCCATTCTTTTCTGTGTGATAGTTCCTGCTTCACTTTGTGAGTGTGAACTACAGAAGCCATGTTTTTTTTTTTTTTTGTTTGTTTTTTTTTTTTTTGTTTTTTTTTTTTTTTG